TCTGTCCCTTTGACATGGCTTGCAAACCCTCATTCAGTTTCTGCTCCAGTCTTGGTGAGGAGGTGGCGGGCTTGCCGCTTTCCGCTTGGCCGATCTGCTCTGGTGCCGGGTCGCCTGGGCTGGCGACGGGCGAGGGTGTGCTCGGGCTGGCACTGGCAGCGTTCCCACGTGCCTTCTGTGTGTAGTGCAGTCACGGCAGACCTGTGAGCAAGGGGGTCGTGGGAGGGCTCCCACACACTCGACCGTTCCGTCCTCTGGCTGGCCTGGAGGCCGCAGGGTTTGGTCTTCCCTGGGGATGGTGGCAAGCTTTGGAGGGAGGGGCGACTGGGCGTCCCGTGCGCTGCTGCTCGGCCATCCTCCAGGACACCAGTGGAAGGTGAGCGGAGGGAACTGCCCTGTTGGCGTGGCGCCTCCCACGTCTGTGGTATCTGTGCCTCCCCAACATCCTTTGTCCTCTGTGGTGCTGCGCTGAACTTCTGGGCCCATCCGTCCTCAGAATGAAGGCAACGTTTTGCGAGAGAGGAGAGCCGGCAGCATCGTGTGGCCCCTTCCTCGGAACGGCCCCTCTGCGGGGCTCCCCGCAGCCGGCCCGTGTCAGACGCGCTCTCCAAAAACGGCGCAGCAGTTCCGCCTCTGCATCTTGCTCTGCGTGGCCTGAAGAGTGATTGAGAGGCACATGTGCCGAGTCTGACGCTGGTGATGACCTGCACGTGGCTTCCTGCCGCCTGGCTCGAAATGCGGCCTGGGCACTGTGCAGAACGGGCTCGTGGCCGCCTCCTCACCCCCTTGCCTGGTTTCTCCCTCTCGCGTTGCCTCTGCTGGCTGGTCTTCCTCAGGGACACCCTCGAGCAGGTGAGTTTTCTCGAGGAAGCCAGTTGAGCGCTTCTGGGGGCGGGGGGGGGTTTGTCACGTGGACCCGGCAGAGTCAGCATCGCATCCTTGGCTCAGTGGCCCTTGGCATCTGTGGGCCATCTCTGGGAGACATCTGGCTGGTCGTGTTGGTGCTTGCCGGCCACACTTGTTCTGGCCTTTAGATTACTCCATGGAGAGAATGCTAAGGGACGGTAAACGGCTTGGTCTGTGAAGCGCTGGCGCCTGTGGCACCGTTCCTGCGCCTCACATTGTGTGTTTACGCCAGTCCCGAGCACAAAGCTCCCCATTGTACGGGCAAGGAAGGGTTTGGTCGGCGGCATAATGTCCTCAGTGCCTTTGGTAGCGGAGATAACATCAGGGCTTCTGCGTGTGCCGGGCCGGGCCGGGCCGCGGCCCCTGGCAGGCCATTGATGTGCTTTGAATAGAGTGTGCTGCCCCAGCAGTCTGGGGCTGCGCTCACATCCTCCCCCCGCCCCATTCAGGCTCACAATTGTTTTGGGGGCTTCTTGGCCAGTGCCAGGCGCTCTTCTGATAAGGCCTTAGGAAACTTTCTTTTTTAAGAGTTTAGACAAAATAGTTCATCGGCAGGACTTCCCCCATAGATAGAGCTGGCCATTAAGAACGGCTCCACGGAAGTCCGTGTGATAAAAGCAGGAGAGGAGGCAGAGCTGGGGCAGCTGATCTGGGGCAGAGCGGCTGGCCGGCTGGCGTGCCCGCCTGCCTGCTGCCGTCGGCCGACCTGCCTTTTGTGCGCTCGCCTTGGGACAGGTGTCTTCCTTGCGGATGATGACGGGGTTCGGTCAGTGATGGGGAGACGGTGCATCGCGTTGCGTTGCGTTGCGTTGCGTTGCCTGAGGCCCCAGTGTGGTGCGTGTCGGGGACACCTGGCGGGGACCAGCAGACTGGTGATGGCTTCCATGCCATGCAGATAAAGCCCCTTGAGCTCGTCCCACAGGGATACTGAAGAAGTGGCGCTTCAGAGGAGCCGTGGATAGGATTGCTTTTGGGACTGGCCACGTTTTGTTCCAGAGTTCAAGGTCAGCAGGAAACTTAGTTTTATTTCTCCCCCACTATGTAATTTCAGGATTGGCTGTACTATTTCAGAATGCCTGAGAGTGAAACCACGCTGCTTGCAAGTGTAAAATAATTTTAATCATTGACAAGCGCTGCTTTTTGGAAAATGTTCTTTCTGTCCTGTGTCAGGGCATGCCCTTTGTATGTGACCTGCCATGCGGTTGAGTGTACTCTGACCCTTTTGGGGTTGCTCTGGTGGTTTCAGAAGTGGGTGGCGCCGGCAGCAGAATGTTTCCGAGGGGGCTGCCTGTTCATGTGTCCAGCGGTGGCCGGGCAGCCGTGCGCTGCACCAGGGCACTCCGGTCTGCTCCCGTTCCGCCGGGTTTTCCGCTGCTGCTCAGACCAGACTCGGCTTGCACTGAGCATAGCTTTGGGGGTTCCTCCTTCGGTCTCCCCCTGCCAGTCCTGTCTGCGCCTGCACAGACACGAGGGCTCCACTTCTGCATCTGTTTTGACCGCAGAAGCAACTGTTCCGTGAGGGAACGGGCTCTGCTCCACCTGGAAGCTGTGAGCAGCCGGGGAGCGTTGGCTGTGGGGCAGTTAAGCGGAGCAGGCATCCCGAAGGGGGCCGTGCTTCCACCTCCACGACGCGAGCAGTTGTGGCAGCTGCGTTGCACCCGTTACTTTTCCTTGCCTGATCCTTCCCGGAAGGGGCTAGAGCAAGGAAGAGCCGCTCTCTTGTGCTCGGCTCCATCAGCCCTGCTGGGGTCCTGCCGCTGACGCCTCTCCTGCGCTGCTGCTCCCCGGGCGGCTTTGCGTCCTGTCCCTGTGGCGTCCTTGCGCTTGGTTCTGGCATCTCCCGAGGGACGAGGGCACCTCTGTGCTGGGGTTGCTGGACGCCGAGCTTCTCACAGCCACAGGATTTCAGAGCTCTCTTGGCCTCGCGGTGCTCTTCCGTAGCCGAACCCTGCCTGCCTGCCTGCCTGCCTGCCTGCCTTCTCCCCGTGGACTGAGCGGCGTCGTGCCTTTCCCATCGATCCACTGAGCAGCGGCTCTGTAGCTGCTTCTTGGGGGATTGTTGGCATTGTGCAGAGCTGCGCCTTCGGGAGGTGTCCCCTCGGAGGGCTCGCCTTCCTCCTCTGCCCCCTTGCGTGGCTTCCGCAGGGAGGGGCAGCACCAGAGGCCTCCGGGACGGGAGTCATTATGCCCAGTGGTCGCACAGGCACTTTTCTCTGGCTAGTGGCTGTGGCCGAGAAGACAGACCTGCCCGTGTGAATATGCACGAGGTGGGAATGGACTGGCTCTCGCCGCCTCAGTGGGTCCTTCTCTCCCCATACTTGGCACTGAACGTTGGTGGCGCTCCCCATTCTTCTGGCACCTCAAGCCTTCTTGGTTTGCAGGGTCATGGGAGGGTTGTCTGTGCCCGTCCAGCGCTCACCTGGCAAGGTGAGCCCCAAAGGCACCCTCATGGAGGGCCTTCAGTGAATCGGGGCCATTAACGTGAGCCGTGCGGCTGTTTCGCTGCCTGCCCAGTTAAAGTCGGGCTGCATAATCTGAGTTCGGGGAGACAGGGCTTTTGTGGCCTGGTTGTAGGTCTCCATCTCCGCTGGGATCCACATGGAGAAGCAGTGACTATGCAAGGTGTCTTCCTCCCGCCCCATAGCGATATCTTGTCAAGGTAAAAGGTGAAGGCTGCCTTTAAAGGGTGAACGTCCTGTTGAGAGGGGGGGGGCGATCCATAACCACTGTAGGTAAGCACAGAAATTTATTTTTTGCTGTGGAGGCATTTCTTGCCACCTGGATATACTTCGACACCGCACCAGTAAATTCTAAGAAAGAGGGGTCTTAACAGGGGTAGGGAGTGGTTTGCTTGGGAGTCCAAACTCGGACTATGGAGGACCTCAAGGGAGGAGGTGGGTTTGCTAGCGCTGGAGAAAGTGGCTGCCCCAAGGACTTCTGGGGGTTCCACGGCAGATGAGCCTGAGGGTGACCTCTGGTATTATACTCAGTACTGGAGGCAGGGTGCCTCTCAGTGCCAGTTGCTGGGGAACATGGGTGGGAGGGTGCTCTTGCTTTCATGCCCTGCTGATGAGTCTCCCCCACAGTGCTGGACTAGATGGCCCATTGGCTTACTTCATAGACTCATCGAAGAGCAGAGTTGGAAGGGGCCATGAAGGCCATCGAGTCCAACCCCCTATTTCCACCTAAGAATGAGAAAATACCGACATATTTTAATACTGACTCCATTAGAACTCAATACATATTTCAACTTTCACTTTGATTTTTTGTTTTGTGTTGTTTTGGTAGTGAGAACAGTTAGCAACTGTATCTATCATTCCACACCATTTTTATGCCAAGCCCTCACAAGACATCATGATAAAACAATATGCAGAAAAATGTACAAAAATTTAAAAATAGGGAAGTACAACAGTGATGTGGTGACAACAACATGAGTCATAAAACAAACATTTTGCTGAGTGTGGTAGCCGTAGAATTAAAAAGACAGACTGAACAATCACAGTTTTATTTCTGTACAAGCCAGTGGCTGAAGCTCAGTGGCTCACAATAATTTAAATTAAACTTTGGGTCTTTTACGGGTGGCAAGAGGACGAGAGGTTTGTGAGACACAGCCCTTCTCTTCCAAAGTGTAGAACCTGCCTCCCGTCCCAGGGCTCTGTGTTTGCAGACGAAGAACTTGGATGATGCAGAGTGACTGTGAAGCAACCACGCTTCTTCTGTTTGCACACGGTTTGCTAATATAAAAACACACAAAGCGTGTCAGGTTAACATTTCATTTTGCTGCATTTGCTCTTGTCTGGAAATCTTGCCATGATAGGAGTGCAGGACTGAGGGAAGGTCTGGCGATGTCCCAGTGGAAAATTGTTTGTAGGGTGTGTCTAACAATTCCCACAAATGCAGCAATGAAGGGAAATTTTATTCCAGTGGTGGGATGTGCAAGTGAGAATTAAAAAAATTGTTTTAATTTAAAAAAATATTTTAAAAATTATTTTAAAAAAGAATAAAAAAAAACCTGACTGCGGACTGAAGAGTTGCTTCCATCAGGAAGTTGGGTTGCGTGTGAGCACCTCTCTCGGCAAGTTGAAATGCAGGGAGGCTCTCGCTTCGGCGCTGGTCGATGCTGTGCGAACCGGGGCGGCAGAGGGACGAGGAGCCCCGAGGAGAGTATCTGCAGCCCCTGCAGAGCGAGCGGATCCTTCCGGCAGCTCCTTTGAGAGTGGTTTTCCCTCTGTCCCTTGTACAGGCCTTCCTGTGTCTGACACGAAGAAGCTCCACTTCACACTGAACATGGAGAACGAGGAAAAGTTACTCAATGAAGGCGAAGAAGAGGAAATGGTAATTGTTTTTCTCAAGTAGTTGAGAAACTACTAGTTGAGAAACGTGGCCTCCGGGTTCTGCCCCTGCCCCTGCCCCTGCCCCTGCCCCTGCCCCTGCCCCTGCCCCGAGCGGCACTCGCCATCGCCCCCCCGCCCCGCTGCTGCGGCAGGGCAGGCAGGCGGGACGGGGCAGCCTTCCCTTCCTCCCAAGGGCTGGGCTTGCATGGCACATGGCGACGCAGCGTGCTGCCCCCCTGCCCTGCTTCCCAAGGGGTGGCTGCGGGGCTGGGGCTCACCTGAGCAGCGGCCATGGGGGAGCACTTTCCTGCCTCTGGGAGGGGAGGGAGCTCCCTCTGCCGCCTTCCCAGTGGGGGGCTGGGGAGAAGGCGGCCTGCCCACCCTTGCGCCCCTCCCTGTTGAACTCGGGAGGGGGTGGCTGCCAAACTCCCCACACTGGGGATCCTGGGGATGCTGGGAGAGGGGGCTGGCTCACGAGCAGACCTGCTCCCAACTGGCAGGGCAGGGCAGGGCAGGGGTGGGCAGCTGATGTTCCTGCAGCATCCTTGGGGTCCTGGGGAGGGGACTGAGGGGCGGGGGACAGTGCTGCAGCCCCCACTACGCCGGAGCGCTGGCAGCCTCCCGGTTGGAGGGCCCTCCCAGGTCAGGCGTCACGGTGCCCTTGCCTCTTGTGTCCTTGCAGAAGATCTGTGGCTATGCCCTGTGCCGATGGAAGCTGGCGCTGGTGGCCGTGGGGGCGCTGGGCACCTGCGGCTTCCTCCTCCTCCTCCTCTACTGGAAGCCCGAGTGGCTGGTGAAGGCGACGTGCCGGAGGGCCCCGCTTGCCACGTGCGAGGTGGTGCTGCTGAGAACAACGGTGAGCTGGCGCTGGCCCTTCTGTCCTGCGGGGCCTGGCCGGCCGGCCGGAGGGGGCCCCGGGTGGTGGCGTTGGCCGCTTCCTCGCGCAGCGCGTGGGAGGGAGCGGGTGCTGGCTCGGTGTCCAGCACAGGAGCCCCGCGGGCTTCGGCCTGCCCGCGGTGTGTGCCTTTGCCGCTGCTCCGCAGGATGTGTCCCCGGAGCAGCTGGCTGAGGCCCTCAGCAGCCGCGGGGCCCCCACGCACGCCCGTGTGTCTGTTCCTCTGCCGCTGCTGCCGGAGCCTCTGAGTGCCCGGGAGTGCTGCTTCGCCTGGCGCCAGGGCGGCCCCACGTGGCTCAGCCGGGCTGGGGCGAGCGCAGAGGGGCAGCTCCCCCGCAAGGAGAGATTGTGGCAGTGCTGCTGGTCAGCGGAGACAAAAAAGTGCGGGGGGGGGCAGGTATGGACTTCTTTGCCTGTTGTGGGGAGAGCGGGCAGAGGCACTCGGGGGAGGACCAGCTGGCGGGCTCCTGGGGGATGGAGGCAGGCGCCTCCGAGTGACCCGGGGGTGCCACTCGCAGGCTCCTCACGAGTGTCTGGCCGGCCCTGCCTGCAGCCTGGCCGGCTTGAGGCTGCCCTGGTGTCGCCCCGCCTGTGGCCCTGCGGGTGGAGCGCTGCCGTGCTGTGCAGGCTCTCCTTCAGCATGACGGGGTTGACGTTTTCTCGGACTGAGTTGCCAGCTGCGTCTGACGACCGCTCGCTCGTCTGCGTGTGGGTGCTCACATTTTCCCCCTTCCTTTCTTTTGCAAACCTTTCCCAAAGGATGAATTTCAGATGTGCTTTTGTGCGAAGGTTCGCGTGGCCCTTGCTCTGGGGTCCCACCCGTTGCAGGCTCCCGAGTGCCTGGCAGAGGAGGCCACCGATGGCTGCGGCGGTCATGCGCACCCGGATGGCTCCGAAGAGGAGGGGAGTGGCCGGAAGAGGCGTCCACAGTGCCGGCTGCAGGAGGTACTTCTGAGCAGCCCCTTCCCTGCCTTCCCCGCCCCAAAAGGGCCTGCCTGGCGAGAGCCGGAGGCTGATTTCTTTCCCTGACAGGCGTCTTGCGAGAAAGCAAGGCCCTCTTGGCGAGAGACGTCCTGCGCCTCCACCTCCGCTGGCGTCCGCCTGTTGGGCCACTGATCCTGAAACACCTTTGCACTGTTAAGTGAGGTGACAGCCTGGCCCAGAGCTTGCGATCCTGCCCCTCGGGTGTTGAGTCCCCAGGGCAGAGCCGGCCCTGCCGCAGGATCGGAGCGCCCGAAGCAGCTGCTGAAGAGCCTCGGGCAGCACCCTGCGCCGGTGGGTGCCCTTGGCAGGAGGCTGCGGTGCACGAGGAGGAAGGCCGGAGGGCACTGGCGTGTCGCCCGGAGCTTGCTTCAAAGGGAGGGCTGAGCTGGCGGGCACAGGCAGGCGGCAGGAGCGGGCGTGTGGGGCTGCTTGGGCGCCACGCACGGAATGAGCCTCATTTTGCCACCTTGGTGCAAAAAGCGGCTTTGCTCCAGAAGCAGCAGCCAGGTTGCCGCCCGTCGAGCTGTCAGGGCTCCGGAACCGCTGCAGAGACAAAAGAGCCCGGGGGGTCTTGTTTTCCTTTTGGTTAAGATGGGGCCCTCCCGGGGTTGTGGGCAAGGTAAGCAAAGGCTTGCCTGCCCTGCCCTGCCCTGCCCTGCCACCGCTAGCCAGTCCGTCCCTGGGCACCTGTGAACCGACCCCTCAAGTCCTGGCAGGGGAAACCGCCCCGTGCTGGGGCATCCCCACCGCCCAAAGACCCCAACCCCACCACTTGGTGCGGGAGGGAGCCCTCTACGGCTCTGCCCGGCGGGCTGAAGGACGCGTGCCTGGAGAGGCCCAGAACCGCCCGCGCCAGTGTGTGGCTGCCGCTCCCTCATCTGGACCCAGCCAGGCCTGGCCTCGGAGCCATGGCGTCTTCGGCCCGGAGCCCATGCCCGCCTGGGCCGTCCTTTCTGCTGGGGGCCCCCTCCCCCCAGAGCACGCCGGGGCCCGGCTTCCTTTTGAGACTGCGCGGTTCTTCCCCGGCAGGGCGGGGCCTGCCTCCATTTCCAGAGCGGGAGTCCCTTCCTCTCCTCCCTCACTCTGCCCAGAGAGATCTCTTTGCCCCACGCGTGCAACCTGGTGACGTGCCTCTCGGTCCCGCACTGGGGCCCCCCCGACGCCGTGCTGCCCGTGGGCTGCCTGCTGCCCTTGCACGGCCTGGTCGGGGGCGGCAGCCTCTGCGTGAGCCTTCTGCGTGTCGGCCGGCAGCTGGACGGGCCCCGCGGGAAGCTTTGGATGCCGGAGGCGGCGGTCAGAGGCTCTCGAGCACCGTCCCTGGAGCAAGCCTGACGCTCCAAGGAGAAGCCTCCGCTGGCACAGCTTGCCGAGGAAGGGGGCTTCTCGCGGGGGGGCTCATAAGGGTCCGGCCACGGGAGAGGCTGCCCCACTCTCTGTTCCCCTCCTCCGACTCGGCGCCTTTGCCAGCGTGGCCTGTTAGAACGGGCACCGTGGCTCATATGTTGGGTGTGATTGTGAAAGCTACAATTCCGCTGCCTAATTAATGGGCACAAATGCTTTCGGGAACAAATACCTGCAGGTACAGAATTCACCTTTCGGACGTTGAACGGGCATTTCCCCGTTTCAGAAGTAGCAGCCCCCTACCAGAAGAAGGGCATCATCGTGTGCCCGAGCCAGTGGAAGCGTGTGGTAGCGGCTCGGCGTGCTGTGGCAGGAAGCGCCTGCCACGTGGCGATCGGGCTGCCTGACAGTGGTTCTCTCTGTCCTTCCAGGCCCGTTATTTCACCCACCACAGCATGAAGTATTTCTGGAATGAGGTGACCCAAAACTTTGGCTTGATAAAGTAAGAGGCAGTCGTGGACGGAAGGGGACCGCTCTGCCTGCCCGGGTGCCTGTGTTTCATTTCACCATCTCCTCTCCCTCCAGGGGCCTGGAGGAGGCCACATCCTGCTCTTCAGTGCACAACGAGCACAGCACGGGGCTGACGGAGGCCATGCAGGAGTACAGGTGCGCCCTCGCAGAAATGAAGGGGCGTCTTCCGGGCGGCCCCTGGCAGGGCGGCATCCGGGGGTGCTGGTGCCTGCCTGTCCGAGGCGGAAGGCTTCCTTTAAATCCCGAGCCGTCATAGGTTGCTCGTCATTCGCCTTCCCCACGCCCCTTCCTCCCGCACGGACCCGGGGCGGCCTGCGCTGTCCTTCTGCGCCCCGTGGATCCTCACGGACACTCCCCGTGGAGGAGGCCGGACCAAGGGGGAGGGCCTGGCTCAGCAGCTCCCGGGGGCTCCCACGGCTGCGCGGCGACCTCACCGCCGCTGCCAGCAGCCCGAGAGTCAGGCGCGTGCCTGTCTGTGGGACGCGCCTGTGGCCGTCCAGGTGCTGTGGCTGCAAATCCCATCAGCCCGCACCTTGGCTGTGCTGGGCCTGGAGGGAGGTGCAGGGCAGGATGGCGGGGGCAGGGCACGTTCCCCCCCCCCCCGGGTAGAGACTCACCCCCTCTGGCCAGCAGCCGGCTTTCGCACCCCAGCGAAGTGTTTTCTGCTTCCTTTTGACACAGGCAGTTGTTCTACGGAGTAAATGAAATTGCCGTGAAGGTGCCCTCCATTTTTAAGCTTTTGATCAAGGAGGTAAGGGCCCGGCACTTGCTGCTTCCTGGCAAGGATTTCTGCGAGTGCAGGGTGGGGGTGCGGCGCCAGCGAGTCTCGCCGCTGGGTCGCTCCCTCCGGTTGCGTGCAGCTCTGGATCTTGTGGGCTGGTGGCGGATCGTGGGAGCCATTCGTATTTGCGCCAACTGGGTCCTTTGTTCTCCCCCCGTGAGTGGGACCCAGTCTGTGCGGGACCCGTGCCTCTGAAACGAGGCCGAGCGGGTGGCGGTGTGCCCTGTGCGAGGGCCGCACACCGTGCCCCGGAGGGCCTGGGAGCCCCGGAGGGCCTGGCGTGTCCTGGGCTGGTGCAGGGCGCGAGAGGGGCGGGGGCCCGGGCCCAGCCGGCCCCCGCCACCCGCCCAGGCGATTCCCATGCCGGTTCTGCGGCCGGAGGCCCTTCCCTCCTTCCCCTCCGCGGGTCAGCTTGCCCCGGCCCATCGTTTCGTTCCAGCTCGCTCAGAGGCGAGGATGGCACCGGACGGCCGGGGCTCCTGGCGCTCAGCACGCCGGAGAGGTGATGAGCCAAGGGACGTAACATGCCGTTTTGTGTTCCCTCTCTCCTTTCCTGCCCCCCCCCCCCCCCCCCGCAGGTCCTCAACCCTTTTTACATTTTCCAGCTGTTCAGTGTGATATTGTGGAGCACAGATGACTATTACTACTATGCAGCAGCCATCATGCTGATGTCTCTGATCTCCATTGCCAGCTCCCTGTACGCCATCCGGAAGGTCAGTCCGGACAGAGCCGGAGGGAGGGTGGGGGGGCGGGCTAGCCAGGGGGGCGCCTGGGCTCTCGCACACCAGGCCGCCCTGCCAGGGACCTTCGCTCCCTGAGCCGTCAGCTGCAGACACCGTGCCCACGGTGCTCTGGCACCCCAGGGGTCACGAGGCGTTGTGCCCCCCTCTCCGCTGGGGGGGCGGAGATCATTCAGGAGCAGCCGCTGCTTTGCTGCTCTGCACTCCGGGCAGAAGCGGTCTGGCTTCCCAGCCGCCTTTCTGGGGGGCAGTTCTGGAAGCTCTGAGCCGCTCGGAAGGTTGACGCAGTATAGCTTGGACCCACTGCGGGCTTTGTTCCGCCCCCTGCAGCCAGCAGCTCGTCGGGCTGGAAGTGCCCCTTCCGTTTTGGACAGGGCCACGCCTCTGCCTGCCCAGCGGAGGAGCTGCAGCCCCTGCCCGGCCCCCACTCCACATGCCTTCCCTGGTTGGCAGCCCCTGAGTGCCACTCAGGAAAGGGGAGGGTTTGCCTGCAGGTGGCCCACTGGCCTCGCCGGTTCCCGGGTTTTGGTGCCATGCAGGTCTGCCCGCTTGCCCAGGGTGTGCGTGTGTCGCGGGCAGAGAATAACCGGACCATCACGCTGTGGCGCGGTTTCATTCTATGCCTGCTTCCTTCCCCCCCCCCCCACCCCGTGTTGCTCCCGAGGGACCACCGTGACGTGGGCTCGGGCTGGCCGCTGTGCTGGACCAGGCTGTGTGTGTGGCGTCAGGCACGGCAGCCGGACGGAGCAGCGTGCCCGGCCAAGCCGTTCCCGGCACAGCCCCCGCCTCCCTGTCGGGCGGGCAGAAGGGCCTTCCTGGTGCCCCTCCAGAATGGTTGGCCACCTCTCGCTGGCTGGCGGACGAGCCAGCCCTCCGCCTCCATTCGCCACGAGGCCCCTCCACTCGCTCCAGGCCGCCTGCTCGGGGCTCAGCTGCCCCGCGGGGGGGGGTCGGGAAGCGCCTCTTTGCAGGGCTGCGGTGGTGCTTCTGCTCGGTGACACCTTTTCTGCCCCCCCCCAGCAATACATGATGCTGCATGACATGGTGGCCGCCCACAGCGTCGTCAGGGTGTCCGTCTGCAGAGCCAGTCAAGGTAGGGGGAGGGGGCGGGGGGGGGCGTTGCCTGGAAAGCGACCCGCTGGCGGGGCCTGCGGAGCGTGGCCGCCGACCCGCTTGGGGCCACAGTTCACAAGAGCCCCCCCAGGCCTGCGGCCCCCGGCAGCCACGCAGCACCCCCCGCCTCCGCCAGCCACGCGGCCTCCTGCACGCTCGCTTGGGCCGCGCTCACCCGGCTGCTGTGCTGGGCACGCCTGGGAGGGGTTCGTCAGGGTGGCCCGTTTCCGGCTCTGCGCCAACGCAGTTGCTCTGCCCTCGGCGGATTGGGATGGCCTCCCGACCTGGGCGACACGGCCGGCTGTGGGGCAGGCGGCACCGGGGAGCTGCTTGGCGAGCGCGGCGTGGGCTCTGCGTGTGCCGCAGGGACTCTGGCGTGGCCGTGCTGAGCTCACCGTGGCGGCTGCCTCGTCCCTCCACCGTGGCCCCCGGGATGCTGCTGGGGGAGCTCCCTGCTGGGCCCCGCGTGGCTGCAGGCGTCCCAGGGCAGGGATGGCCGCACGGGGCAGCTGTGGGGCCAGCGCAGCCCCCTCTGCCTCTCTGCCTCACGCCAGCTGGGCGGCTTCGCCGTGTCGTGTCAAGGGCCTCCTCTCAACGACGGCTGGCTCTGCTGAGGCAGAACTAGCTGTTCTGGGGTGGGGGAGACCTGAGCAGCCCCCCAAAAAAGAATCCAGAAAGGGGGCCGTGCTGTGCCCGTCGCCGCCTTTCATGTGTGCGACCGTTTCTGCCATGCAGGAATTGAGGAGATCCTGTCCACAGACCTCGTGCCTGGGGACGTGGTCGTGGTCCCGCTGAACGGGATGATCATGCCCTGCGATGCCGTACTCGTGAGCGGCACTTGCATCGTGAACGAAAGCATGTTGACAGGTACCCCCGAGGGCCCCCGGGCGCCCCCGCGTGGGCCCCGTCCCGCCGCAGAGGCCGGGGGTGGGCTGCGTCGCCCCGCAGCGGGCCTGAGACTTCCCCTCCCCGCAGGGGAGAGCGTGCCCGTAACGAAGACCAGCCTGCCCAGGCCCAGCGAGGAGCCCCAAGCCCCGGAGGACGGGCCCTACAGCCCGGAGGGGCACCGCAGGCACACCCTGTTCTGCGGCACCACCGTCATCCAGACCCGCTTCTACACCGGAGAGCTCGTCCGAGCCGTCGTCGTGCGGACAGGTAGCGCCCTTGGGCCCCCGGCTCCTGGCTCCGGGTGGCTCTGTGCCCTGTGTGTGCTCATTACGTCATAGGCCAGCTGATCGCTGACGGTCTCTCTCAGCTCACGTCAGTTCGTTTCCGAAAGGTACTGGAGGAGTTTAAAAGTCTCCCGGCAGCAGGACATGCATCTAAAGTGTAGCGAGGGGTTAAAACAACAGAAGCTGAATGGCGAAAAACCCCGGGAAACACGGAGCCTTCCCCTGGCGCCGGAAGAAGCCCAGTGAGGTGCCGGGCGAGCCTCTCCGGGAAGCGCGCCCACAGCCGGGCGCCACTCTTGGGAGCCGCTGAGCTCTCTCCCTTTGGCCAGTGCCCCTGCAGCAGGACCACTGAGGCACCGCGGGGGCTGGGCAGGCGGATAGGGAGCAAGCGGCCTTCAGGCAGCCGAGCTCCAAGCCGGAGGGTGCTGAGTGCTGCTTCCAGAGCGCTGAATCGGGCTTGGGCACAGGACGGCCTGCCTCAGTGGCCCCCACATTTCTGCACGGGGGGGGGGAGAGGGAGGCGAGCCGCCTTGGCCAGGCCAGGCGGCTCCTCGTGGCCCTGTGGACCCCCCGAGGGCAGCCCCTGACCCAGACCAGGCGGCCTTGGCATCCCGCGGCGCGGCAGGGGGCGGGGAGGGAGGGGAGCGGCTGGAGTCCCGCTGGGACCCCGCCTCTTTCGTTCTGCTGGTGCTGCCAGTGCTTTGTTTTGGGGCCCAGCAAATGCCCGTCCGTGCTGAAGTCAGTGCCCTGGGCGGTATGGAAAGGCGGCGCGCGGTCCGAGTTCGGCCAGGGTTGATTCGGGTCCCTTTGCTCTTCCTCCCTCCGCCGCAGCTCGTGGCGAATCTGATGCCCACTCGAATGCAGTGCCGGTGGCCTCGTCCGCACCTTGGTGGAAGGCCTCTTGGCCCGCAGCCTGAGACCCCTTCACGGGGGACGCTGAGGGGGCTCCCTCCGCTCACACGCCAGTCCCTGCCCTGCGGCTGCCCCGTGGGAGGCCTCGCACCCCTGCCGAGGAGGCCCCGCTCCTCTGTGCGGTCTTCTCCTGCCCTCAGGCCTGGAGCCCGGCGGGGGCATCCCAGGAGGCCGAGTGGTGGGAGAGCTGAGGCAGCTCAAGGGAGGGATTTCTTCGCAGGGCACACGATTCGGCTACGGGAATTGCTCCTGCAAGGCCGAGTGGCGGCTGCTGGCTTGGCCGGCTGTGCAAGGCCGCCAGGCGCATTTTGGGAGGCCGGGGCTGTCGGCGCTGCCGGTCAGGGTGGCTGCGCAGGGGGCCTCTGTGTGCCAGCCACGGGGGAAGCCGGTGCACCGTGTGGCATGGAGCTGGACCGCAGAGGCCTTCGGCCTGACCCAGGGGCCTCTTGGAGGGCCCGAAGACCCGCTTGCTTGCACTCAGCGATGACGCGGCCGGTCCCTTTCAGGCCGCTTCCCAGGAGAGGCCCCGCAGGAGAGGACCAGCACGAGCTGCAGCCGGGAGCATGGCAGGAACATAGAAACAGAGCGAGTCAGAAGGGGTCTCCCGGGCCATCTAGTCTGACCCCCGGCTCCAGCTGGCTCCACTCACAACATGCCCACCATGGGCACGTCCAGCCTATCTTTGAGCACCCTCACCGATGGGGCCTCAACGACCTCTCGTGGAAGCCCATTCCACACCCTGGGGGTCCTGACTGTCAGGAAGTGCTTCCTGGCATCCAAAGGGAACCTAGGTTCCCTGAGCTTTGCTCCGTTGGAGCGCGTCCTGCCCTCCTCTGCAGGGGAGGACAGGTCTCTCCCCACCTCCATCTCTCCCCGTCCCCTCACATACCTGCATGTCGCCAACAGATCCCCTCGGAGTCTCCTCCGCCCGCCCTCCGCAGCACCTCGTTCTGCCTCGTGGGGGTTTGCATGGCCTTACCTGCACGCTGGCGTGGCTTCCCGGGGGGGGGGCATTGGGGGGGGGGGGCATGCGTTTCTGGTGCATCTCCAAACTGCCCTTCCTCACAGGCTTCAGCACTTCCAAGGGGCAGCTGGTCCGCTCGATCTTGTACCCGAAGCCGACGGACTTCAAGCTCTACCGAGACGCCTACCTCTTCCTGCTCTGCCTCGTGGGCGTGGCGGGAGTCGGGTTCCTCTACACGGTTGTCATCAGCATCCTTCACGAGGTGGGCGCTGAGCCCCGCGGCCTCCCCGTAGGTCTCGAGGCGATCCGGAGCATCCCGCCGCCCGGAGCCGCTTCCTGCGGGCAGCCTCCTCGGGGTGCGCTCCCCCTTTGTGGGCTGGTTGCAGGCCTTGCCCGCAGGCATGTGCCGGGCACGCCAGGTGTGGGGCGGGCAGTGGAGGGGCAGGAGGCGGTGGTGCGCTCCGCACCCTCGCCCCCCTCCTTCCCCTGGTCACTGCCGGGGCTGTGGGAGGAAAGCCATGCAGCAAGCGGACGGCATATACAGGCAGAAGCGCTCTCGGGACGGCCCTGTTCACGTGCTCCCCGCTGGCCGTGCTTGGCCCAGGCCGGAGCAGCCGCTTCCGCAGTTCCCCTCGGAGGCCTCTGAGAGAAGCGCAGGTGAGGGCGCTGCGGCTCCTATGCCGGCAGGCTGCCGGGTGGCCGCGGCCCCAGGCTCAGGCGGGGGGCAGCCCTGCACTGCTCTGGCCCGAGCCCCGCCAGAAAGTGGCCCTCGCGCCGGACAGGGAGAGGCACATGTTGGAGGCCGCTGCTGAGGGACGCTGGCACTGCCGTCCCACATAACCTGGAGTGCCACGCGCATTCAGGAGGAGGCTAGGGCGTGTCTTGGGGGAGCCTGCGAGAGCCGCCTGGCGCCTCTCCGCCCCACGTTTCTCGCCATGCGAGCCGTTTGGGAATGGCTCGGCCACCCCCAGCAGCCCTCGGTGCCGCCACGGACCCCGCGGCAGAGCCGGCCTCCACGGCTCCTGCTCACGGAGCCCACCTGTCCCACAGGCGCCGGCCGAGACCATCCTCATCAAGTCCCTGGACATCATCACCATCACGGTGCCCCCGGCCCTGCCGGCGGCGCTAACCGCCGGGATCGTGTATGCCCAGCGGCGGCTGAAGCAGCACGGCATCTTCTGCATCAGCCCCCAGCGGATCAACATCTGCGGCCAGATGAACCTCGTGTGCTTCGATAAGGTCTTGCTGCTCGCCGGCCCTCCTGTGCGGGTGGAGCCGGTCCCCCCCTGGGCGCTGTGGGAGGGGCCTCGAGGCCAGCGCGGCCCCCCTGCCCCCGGGGGCTGCTGGGGGCGGGGGCGACCCCAGCCCTCGCCTTGGTCTGCTGCTCCCGCCTGCCACCTCCTCAGGCCTTCGGGTGGGGAGCGCTGCCTTGGGCCTGTGGAGGAGGGCCAGGGGGCCCCGAGGAGGCCGGCCTGTGGGGTCAGGCAGAGCCGGGACGCCTCCCCCCGCTGCTCGAGAGGATGGGTGTGCCGCTCTTGAGGGAGCTGGAGGTCTCATGGGACCAGAGGAAATCTTGTTTCCGCCCCCCCCCCCCCCGCCACGCCCCTGGCTTCTGCTTTCCCCTGAGCTGGGGAGGGCGAATGGCTCCCTCTGGTGCCCCTGGGCAGGCCCGCTTCCTCCCGGGAGCACGCGGGGGTCGCCTTGCAGCGCAGCAGCTCCGACGCTCTGGGGGGAGTGGCATGTGCGGCGCCTTCTGTAGGTCACTTGTGTTCCTCTTCGTGGTCTGTGTGCGTCACACGCGTGGCTCCGTGCGTGCGGAGCCCGTTTCTGCGCTTCTGCAACTGGGATCATTGGCTGTGTGGAAGCCTTAGCGTGGCGTGCGGGGAGCAGCCTCCCCAATTCGGCTGCGTGCCGGACCTTTTGGAACCCGACCCGCCTCTGTCAGCCCCAGCCAGCCGGGCAGTGGGCAGGGGCGCCTGGTGCTGTGGGCCAGGACTTCCGCAGGAGGCCGAGGAGGACGCGGTCAGCAAGGCGGGCACAGGGGATTTCTTCTGCGAGCTGCCTGGGAGGAAGGGCTCGAGGAGCCTGCTGAACAGAGGAGGGGCCGGGTACGCGCCCCGCGGCGTGGCTTGGTTTCGGCACTGCTCTGACGCTCCGTTTTCCCTCCACCCATCCATAGACGGGCACCCTTACCGAAGATGGCCTGGATCTCTGGGCGATCCAAAGAGTCGAAAATGCCCGGTAAGTGATGGGCCGGGATGTTGCCCCTGGCTTTCCACGCCCCTAAAATAAGGCGCCGGCCCAGAGAAGAGGTGCTGCCCAGGAGCGGGGCTTGCGGGAGAGGCGGCTCTGGGGCTGGGCGCATCTCCCCGGCCGGGCGGCCCTGCCCGGCTGCATTCCGCTGGGCTGCGAGCAGATCCATCCGGCGCTCTGGCCAGGTCGCATCGGGTGCCCTGTGAACGGTAGGCCGGGGGGCGGGCGCTGGCTTTAGGAGGAGAAGCCACGTCCTGGACCCAGCTCTGTCCGTCCCAACAACTTCCGCACCCTTTCTGCTCCTGCGGTCAGTTTCCTTTCGCCCGAAGAGGAGGTCTGCAGCGAGAGCTTGGTCAAGTCCCCCTTCGTCGCTTGCATGGCAGCCTGCCATTCCCTGACGAACATCGAGGGCGTGCTTTCGGGAGACCCCCTGGACCTGAAGATGTTCAAGGCCACCGGATGGGTGAGGCGGGCGGGAGGGGGGCAGGCCGAGGCGGGGGGGCTCTTTTTGCCGGGCGGGGGCAGGGAGCAGCTCGGCGAGCGCATCACTCGCATCTCTCCGACCCGCTAGCAGAGGCCTCGGGGCAGCGCGCAGGGCACCCCTTTGGACGGCACCCGCCACGCGCCGTGGCTCGCTCAGCCCCGCGAGGGTGGCTCCGTGTGGGCTGCCGGAGGGGTAGCTCAAGCAGAGCTTGCCCAACGGGTCCAGCCGCGACGACCTCCCACTGCGGCTCGCCTAGCCGGAAGCAGGGCGGTCGCACGCCGCAGCCCAGAGCTGCCGCCACAGGGCGTGGGAGCCGCTGCGCCTGCCAGCCCAGCCCAGCCTGTGGGCCCTTTGCGCTGACTCGCACGGCCCGACACGGAGCTGGCCGCTTGCCGCTTGCACTTCCTCGGGGGCAGAAACGCTGCTGGCGGGACGTCCCTTGGCTCGCGTTGCTGTCTCGAGAACTTCTCGATTGTTTGGTTACGAGGGGCAGGCCAGCGTTATGCTGACTGCAGGTAAATCAGACGCGAGGTACGCTCCTGGACACGCTTAGGCCGACGGGGGTTCCCAGCTCCCCGCTGGCTGGGGCGTGTTGGGGGGGAGCAGTGGGACTCTGCCCGGCCTCGGCAGGTTGCCTGGCCCGGTGGGCTGTGCGGGGGCGTTTCCAGATGTGCAGCGGGCAGGAGCACCCCCTCTCACCCCGTCCGTTTCGCCAGAGGCACCGGAGGAGTTTCACGCCTCGGTCAGTTGCCAGAGCTGCTGGTGCGGGAGGCGAATGGTGTAACAGACACAGAGCGAGTCAGAAGGGGTCTCCCGGGCCATCTAGCCTGACCCCCGGCTCCAGCACGCACGTCTGAATGCACGTGTGCCTCATTCAGATTCTCGAAGAAGCAACCGAAGAGGAAACAGCCCTCCATAATCGGATCATGCCCACTGTAGTGCGCCCACCGAAGCAGCTTCTTCCGGACGCCAAGCCTGTGGCTGACAAAGAAATGGTGGGTCGCCACAGAGCACTCCTCCTCTGCTCCTGCCTCGGTCGCAGGCCTTCCGTTCCCTTCATGCCCGGCTTCTCCTGCTCCGCCCTGGCTTGCCAGTTGCCTCGACACAGCCAGGGGCCTCCCGTGGAAGATCCTATGGGGGGGGGGGGGGGGGCTCCGCTTTGCGTGCCTGTCACGTGCCGCTGCCCATCAGCTTTCTGGAGGGTTTCTTGCAATCAAGTGCCATGGAGAGAGAAATTAATGTTTCCCCTCCCCCCCTTTTTATTTCTTGTAGGAGCTCTTCGAGCTTTCGGTGAGTGCCTTGCCATCGGTCTCTTGGTTTTGCAGTCCCCGTCAGGCCAATGGGCCGGCTTAACCGCCACTTTGCTTCTCTCTCCTCACCTGCTCATCGTGTGGCGCCAGGCGAGTTACGAGATCGGGATCGTGCGGCAGTTTCCGTTTTCTTCCGAGTTGCAACGGATGTGTGTGGTGGCGAGGGCCCTCGGGCAGAAGCGCATGGATGCCTACATGAAGGGAGCCCCAGAGGTGGTCGCCGGGCTGTGCGCGCCAGAGACGGGTACGTGGCTGGCACGTTGCTTCTCCCGGGGCGGGCCACGTGCAGCCGGTTTAATCCTGCGGTTGCTGTGTTTATTGTTTTGCAGTGCCTGCTGATTTCGAAAGGGTGCTGGAGGAATACACCAAGCAGGGCTTCCGGGTCATCGCCTTGGCTCACCGCAAGCTGGAATCCAAACTGAGCTGGCACAAGATACAGAACGTAGGCCGGTACGTTGCTTGGGGGCGTGCTGGGAGCCCGGCACGCGCAGCTCGGCTTGGGAGGGCGGCCTTGCAGTGGCCCCGATTCTGCGCGTCGCGCCCGGCACGGGGACTGTGCATTCCGTGCGTTGCTTTGGCTCCCGCCGCCTCCTCGCCTCGTGGCAGCTCCCTCTGGAGAAGGCCTCCGAAGGCCCGTGAGGCAGCGGTGCCCTTGGGCAGCCTGGCCAAACCGGGGAGCCTGCCGTAGCCACTCTGGTCCAAAGGCGCCGGCGCCAAGGCAGCCAGAGGGTGCGGGCCTCCCTGTCCCGGGCGGCACTGGGCAGGCAGCTGGGGGCGATGAGGAGCCTGCCTCCAGGCCCACCAGCCGCACACGCAGCGCTCCGGTGTGGGTCTGCCGAGCCCCAGCGCTCATTCCTGCGCTAAAAGGCTCACAGCTGCAAGTCCCCGGCTATTCGGCCGTCGCTGTTCCCAGCCCTTTCCCTGGAAACTCCTAACGTGGCCCTTCTTTTTCGGCTGCCGTGGCACCTCGGGTTGATTTTCGGGGAGCCCTCCTCCCCAGCGCTGCTGCCTCGTCCACAGGCGGCGTGTGCGGTTCGCATGTTGTGCCTCGGCACTCTCACTTTGCGAAGGGGTGTGGAGCTCTCTGTGGTCTCCTTAGAATCTTGCCCCCTGCAGATCCAGCCCGATTCTGCCCCAGCTGCTGCACCCGGACTGATTCTGCTGTTGGATGGGGGGGGGGCGGCGGCTGCCGTGTTGCTAACGGTGTGTTTGTGCACGCGTGCTTTCATCTCCTTCCTGTTCCGTCCTTCCGCAGAGATGCCATCGAGGGCAACATGGATTTCATGGGGCTAATTATAATGCAGAACAAGCTCAAGCAGGAAACCCCAGCTGTCCTTGAGGATCTGCATCAGGCCAACATCCGCACCGTTATGGTGACAGGTTTGCACGTCATTCTTGAGAGCTGCTGGCCGCCGGGAGCTGTGCTCCTGCCCGGGTGGGGGCCGCAGTGCAGCGAATGCACAGCTGTCTGGTTGCAGGCCGCCACTGCCAAGCCCAGTTTAATTGGTGTCCCCTGGGAGGAATGGTGTGCGTGCAGGAGCGTGGCCGGCCTGCAGTCAGCGGGCAGGGCACTGGCTGTATCCACACAGCAGCATAGCCCAGCTGGTGCGCAAGCATGCGGCTTGTGGGTGGAGCGACACCCAGTGCGCCCGACAGGCAGCTGGGCTCCCCAGGGGCTCCCTGGCCTCTCGGTCCTCCTGTGGGTCTCCGAGGGGACTCTGCGGCAGAACCCGTCTGGCTTTCTTTCCGCATGCCAACTGCAATTCCTTTCGCTGCCGCCACTGCCTCTCCTCCCTTTTAATTTTTTTTTTTTTTGAGATTTTTTTCATGCTCCCAGAAAAGGCAGCCAGCGGCAGCCCCTTCAGAGTGCCCAGACGGCACAGAGACGCATAGATACGGAGCGAGTCGTGGGGGGGGGCCGCTCGGGCCATCCAGTCCGGACAAGGCAGCGGTGCTGCGTGAACCCGGCCCGTGGCTTGGGCTCCCCCTGGTGGAACTTGCTGGGGACGGTGGGAGCCGCGGCCTTGGAAAACCCCCTGCCCCGTCTCTGCTGGTCCCACAGGCGACAACCTGCTGACGGCCATCTCGGTGGCCAGGGACTGTGGCATGATCCTGCCCGAAGACAAGCTGATCATTGCTGAGGCGCTGCCTCCGAGGGATGGGCAGACGGCCCGGATCAGCTGGCACTACGCGGATGCCCTCACCAGGAGCACCGGCTGCTCGCCAGCCATCAGCCCAGAGGTAACCGGGATCTGGCACGCCGAGTGCACGGGTGCACCAGGGCCAGATCGGCTGAAGGGCTCCGGCCCGGCTCCTGCGTGCCCCCTGGCCAGTTGGCCAGCGGCCCCAGCAAGCCCTCGAGCCGGGGAGGAGACCTGCCCCCTCCCCCACGCTCCCTGAGGGCAGTCGCCGCGCGTCGACACGCTGGAGGCAGCACCGGGCCATCCCGGTGGGGTGCACGCCGTGGTCCCTCCAGCCTTCCGAGCCGATGGCTGCTGGTCCTGGCACCGGCTCGCCCCACGGCTCGCCCCACGGCTTATTTCAGGCCCTGCACCCATCCTGCGGAATTGCCGCAGTCCTGCCGAGCCGCCCCAGAACTTAAGCTTGATAAATGATGCTAAAGGATGCTGGCCTTCTCTTTCCAGCATCCTGTTAGATGGCATTTCTCAGGTGCAGAGCTCAAAGTGTCACCAGAAACCCAAAAGGGAATGGCCCGGCCCGTTTTCAGAGCGCTCCCTCTCCTTCTCTTTTCCCGCAGGTTATTCCCATCAAGTTGGCCCACGAAAGCCTGGAGAACCTCCAGGTGACCAAATTCCATTTTGCCATGAGCGGAAAGTCCTTTGCCGTGATCCAGGAGCACTTCCAGGACCTCATTCCAAAGGTCTGTATCTGGAGTGGCTCTCCTGGGGAGATAGTATTAGCTGTGCTAATCACAGGAGAACGTTTTTGGTGCTTCCCCGGCTCCCTGCCCCTTCCTGAAGCTGCACGTGGAAAAGCAGCCTTGTGTTTGTACACATCGGAATGTGCTGTGTTTCTGGTTGGGTTGGGTTGGGTTGGTTGTGTGCTAAGACCGATTTCAGCCTGTTTCTTAGTGCCGCCCAAGCCGCCACCAGGGAGCAGTGCCGTCCGGCCAGAGGGCCAGTGCTCGGGACAGCGGCCGGCCAGCCGGCCGGCCGGCCGGGGATTCATTAATTTGTTCATTCCATCCTTCGTTAACAAGTGAAGGGACCACTGAGCGCCCTGGGCTGGGGCAGCCCTGGGAGTTCGTGGCCACGGCAGCCCCTCCCCTCACTGTGCTCCTGCCACTAAGAGAACCGCCTTTTCCAGCTCGTGCTGCACGGCACCGTCTTTGCTCGCATGGCGCCCAACCAGAAGACCCAGCTGGTGGAGGCCTTGCAGAACGTCGAGTAAGCATCCCTGCGCTGGCGCGGCCGCTCGTGTCAGTCCGCCGGGGCCGGGCTGCCGCTCTCGCCAGCCGCCCTCGTGCAGCCCGGCCCAAGCCGAACTGGCCTCGAGCCGTCCCGCGCTTCGGGGGCGGGGGGCAGAGCTGCCGGGGCTGCCTGCCCAGGGAGGGGGCCGCTGCATGGGCTGGCTCTTTGCAGGCGGCGCCTGGCTCGCCTCCGGCCGGGGGACTGCGGGTCTGCACCCGGCAGGGACGACGGGCTTGTGTCTCCCACGGGGGACAAGGTCCACTCTGGAAGGGCTGGTGGGCTGGCTGGCTGGCTGGCCGGCCGGCCGGGGAGGGTGCCCCTTACAGTGAGGAAGGCGAGGTGAGGCAGCCATGGAGAGACCACCCAAGGGTCGCTGCCGCTCTTTCAGGTCTGGGCAGCTCTGCCACCACTTGGGTGGCAGTGGTGCTGGGGCCCCACACAGCACGGGCCTTTTGCCTGGCCCTGGACCCTGCAGGAGTGCCTCTTCTGCAGGGAGGGGAAGGCACAGTACAGCCCTCCCCAGGAATGGAAGTGCTGTCGTAGAAACAGAGCGAGGCAGAAAGGGCCTCCCGGGCCATCTAGTCTGGCCCCCGGCTCCAGCCGGCTCGGCTCACGACAGGCCCACCATGCGCATGTCCAGCCTCTCCTTGAACACCCGCACCGATGGGGCCTCAGCCACCCCCGGGGGAAGCCCCTTCCAGCCCTGGGGGACTTCCATGTGGTCCCTGGAGGCCGGGGGGGGACGTGCCCGCACACCGCAGAAGCAGCCACTCTCCGACAGCCGGGCGGCCTCCAGAGGAGGCTGCTTAAACACCTCAACCCTCTCTTGGCAGCCACCCAGGCAGTGGGGCACAGGTATCCAGATGGAGGGGGTTGGGGCAGGCGTCCCTGTGCATGAGCCATGTGGGGCTGGCCTGGCCCCTTCTCTCCAGCACCGCTTCCCACTGGTCCCACTTCATCCAGTCTCCCCCACCCCCTCTCCATCTCTCTGCCCGGAGAGGATGGCCCGGCTCTGCGGTGTCTCCTGGCAGCGGATCAGGTCCTGGCCCTGGCGGGTGGCCCATGGCTGCGCAGGGCAGGCGGGCTGCACCGCTCTCGCTCCTGCCCTGCTCGGTGGCCGCCGTGGCCAAGCGCCTTCCCTCCGCGAGGCTTCTCCACTGTCACGCTGGCCAGCCCGTTGGGGATCCCCCCCCCAGAATGCAGGCTGCCCTCCCCGCATCCATCTTCCCGGCCACCTTGTCTGGCCGCTTGCTCGCCCCACACGTGGCACGTCCAGCCACGTGCTCTTTGCTCGGACGTGAGAGGCGGCGCTGGCGGCGGGGCCTGGCTTTGGCGCGGAATCAGATCTGGTGGCCAGGGTGCGGGTGTCGCAGCTCCGCCTCACTTGCTTCTAGCTGGGAGTCGTGCCCTGGCGCCACGCCTGCAGCGAGCCTGACCTGCTGTGGCCGTGGCCTGTGGCATGTGCCCACGGCTCTGAGCGCTGCTGAGCACCGAGCCTGCCTCCCTTTGCAACTGCCGGCTGGAAGGCCAGTGGGGGCGGGAGGGAGCCCGGCCGAGCTTGCCGGGGCTGATGCGCTCTCTGGTTGTGCTTTCCAGCTACTGCGTGGGCATGTGTGGCGACGGAGCCAACGACTGTGGTGTGAGTATCCGCCTGCCGCTGCTGCCGCTGCCGCCAGGGCCTGCCTGGCGCATCAGCCCTGGCGGAAGGCGTCACCTTTCCTCTCCCCCCCTTTGCACGTGGGCAGGCGCTGAAGCGGGCGCACGGGGGCATCTCCCTGTCGGAGCTGGAGGCCTCGGTGGCATCGCCATTCACATCCCGCACGCCCAGCATCTCCTGCGTGCCCAACCTCATCAGGTGAGGGGCTCGGGATCCTGGGGCCCTTCTGTGCGGCTCCGTGGCCCAGTGCGCCACGCCGGCCTTTGGCCTTCGGCACCAGGCACACGCAGAGTGGCCGGCACCCACCGGGGGAGGCGGGCCAGGGCCGTTGGGAGAGCCGGGCGGGAGTGGGCTGCGAGCGGCTGCCTTGGGGGCGCCTGGAATCCCACCGCACGGGCCTCGTGGAGCGACTGCCCTTCACGTGCAGGCCCATGCGTCCTCCAGGCTCCACGGCCGAGTCTGCAGAAGGCCAGCTCCTCTCGGAAGGCGCTTGCGGGCCTCGGAGGAGACCTACTGCGTCTTTGTGCTCAGCCGGGAGCCTCCCGAGGGCGGATCCTGTGCGGTGCTGTAGCTGACGGGGAGCGCTGGGGTCGCCCGGGACAGGCTGCTCTTTCCCCCAGCCCCTGCCGGGGAAGGAGGGCACTCGGATGAGCAAGCAGAGGGCTATGAACGAAGGCTCGTAACGGGGAAAGCGCTACCAGCCCTGGACGGGGAAGGGAGGCTGGCGGCCGCACAGCACGGGTTCCGTCCAAACAGGGCCTGCCAGACAAGCCTTGAGGTGGCTCGACGGAGGCGACAGGGCGGATGTGGTTTAGCTGGATTCCAGCAAGGCCTTTGACAAAGTGCTGCCTGATACCCTGATTGGGAAATCGTGGGATTTTGGGATAGATGGATGCACTGTCCAATGGATGAGGGCGCAGACCACAAGCAAAGGGTGCCTGTCCATGGGGAACCAGGGACGAGCGGCGTCCCCCAGAGATCAATTCTGGGACCGATTCTGTTCAGCTGCTTCATCAGTCACCTGGAGGAGGGGACAGCCAGTCTGCTGACTGAATTTGCAGATGGTACCAAAGTGGGGGCGGTGGCCACAGCTGAGGAGCAGGTGGTCCAGATGCAGAAGGATCTGGACCGGCTGTAGACGTGGGCGGGGGACAGCAGGATGGCGTTCAGTGCGGATGAGCGCAAGGTCTTGCGCTTGGCACACAGGAGTGGGTGCCACAGGTACAGGAAGGGGGGCACGTGGCCGCAGAGCAGCACTTGTGGAAGGGGCCTCGGGGTGCTTGGCCACAGCAGGCTGACCATGAGCCCACCGGGTGACACGGCGGTCAAGAGGGCAAACGCCACCCTTGGATGAGCAGCCAGACGCGTGGCTTCCAGATCTAGGGCGGGGTTGATCCCGCCCTGCAGGACTCTGGGGCGCCCACAGCTGGAGTCCTGCGTCCAGTTCTGGGCTCCACTTTACAGGGGAGAGAGAGCTAGGTCAGAATTGGCTCAGCACAAGAAGGGTGGCCGGGCCGGGAGGGATGACACATGAGGAGAGGTGGAAGGAACGGAGTCTTTTCAGCCTGGAGGAGAGGAGACTCCGAGGGGACATTTTAGCTAATTCTAGGGGACGTCAAGTGGAGGAGGGCCGTGAGCTGTTCTCCCCTGCAGTGGAGGGCAGAACGTGTTCCAGCGGGGCAAAGCTCAAGGCACCGGGCTTCAGGCGGGATGTCAGGAAGGGCTTGCTGACGGTTCGGACCTCTCGGGTAGGGAATGGGCTCCCGAGGGAGGTGGTGGAGGCCCCACAAGTGAGGATTTGCTAGGAAGGATTGGACAACCACATGTCGGGGATTGCATGAGCGGGGCTGGCTGGAGCAGGGGGTCAGACTAGATGGCTTGGGAGGCCCCTTCTGGCTCACTCTGTCACTGCTTCTGAACGTGCTGCTGCCGTGAACGCGGGTGTCCTGAACAGGTCGGCCCTGGAGCGTGGCCTCTGACCTGCTCTGGGCTGCATGTGCCGCAGTGTGTTCCCCCATGTCTGTTTTGGCAGAGCAGGAGCAGCTCTCCGGGGCCGTGCCTCTCCCCGCCTGCGCCTTTGCCCTCTGCCCACACTGCGCCTCCGACGGCCACGGCGGGCAGGCCTCCTGGGCGGGAGTCGCTCGCCCACCTGGGTTTGGGGGTCGGGGGGACTCTGCCGGCTGCGTGACGTGCCTGCCAGGCGGGGCAGAAGCACCTCTGCCCCAGAGCCCCCCCTCCCCCCCGTGCAAGCCACCCGGCCCTCCCTGCCCCCCGGGCTGTGCTGAGGGTGTCCTTGTTCCGCAGGGAGGGCCGCGCTGCTCTCATCACCTCCTTCTGCGTGTTCAAGTTCATGGCCCTGTACAGCATCATCCAGTACGTCAGCGTCACCCTGCTGTACTCGGTGAGTCGCTGGCGAGGGCCCCCCGCAGCGTTGCCAGGCCGGGAGCCGCTGCCCACGCTGGGAGGGCGGGGAGCTCTTTTGGCGCACCGCTTGTGCGCCTGGCACAGGGGCGCCCGGGCCTCCTCCCCGGCCAGATCCGTCGGCACTGGAGCGCACGAGGCACGGAGGGAAGTGGTCCAGTCCGCCCTCCTTGCGCCCTCTGACTCTGTGCGAAGTCATCCCTGCCTGGGCGCCCCCCCCCCCGCTTCAGCCGTGGATTCCGATTCTGCAGCCCACCGAGGGCAACCATGGCGGCTCTGGGGCGCCTCTCCTGGCTCAGAGCCCCCCGGGCTGGCGCAGCACGCCGAGGATCTCGCTTGTGGCTTCTTTGCAGATCCAGAGCAACCTGGGAGACTTCCAGTTCCTCTTCATCGATATGGCGATCATTCTGGTCGTGGTCTTCACCAGTGAGTGTGCCGCGAGCGGCTCGGAAGGCCTTGCTCTGCCCGGGCTGGGAGCCTGAGGATCCTTCTGCGGAGGCCCTCGTGCTGGCCTCCCCTTGCTTCCCGTTGCCTTCCGGAGGGCAGCCGGGAAGCTGCTGGGCGAGGTCTCAGGCATGGACGCGCCCGAGCCGCCTCCTGCACCCCTGGCCCTGCGGGCCCGGCCACGTCCTCAGAGCACCTGGCGCGGGATGGGGCAGAGCGCACGGAACGCCCGTGCTCCGTTCGAGGAGCCCCGGCAGCTCCCGGCTTTGCGGGGGGCGGGCCCCAGCCGGCGGAGGGTCCCTCTTTTGCGCGGGGCGGCTGGGGCTGGGCCGGCCCCGCTCACACCCCCTCTCCCCGCAGTGAGCCTCAATGCGGCCTGGAAGGAGCTCGTGGCGCAGCGGCCGCCCTCCGGCCTCATCTCGGCGCCCCTGCTCTGCTCCGTCCTCTCGCAGATCCTCATCTGCCTCGGCTTCCAGAGCCTGGGCTTCTTCTGGGTCAGGCAGCAGCTCTGGTACAAGGGCAGGAGCCCGCTCTCGGAGTAAGTCGCCCGTGGATGGTGGGCCTGCGCCCGCTGGCGGTTGCCCGTCTGGCTCGTCGTACCCGCTGCGCAGGGGGGGCCTCCGCCCGACAGCAGAGCCCCGCCTGGCGGCACACGGCTGCTTCTCTCCCGCCAGCCGGCCGTGGAACTGAGGCCGTGAATGACGCGAGGATGTGGGGGCAGTGGGGAGCGGGATGGGAGACGCCTGGGGGGGCGGGGGGCACTGCCTTTGGGGAGCCGTGCGAGCCTGGCCCCCTGGTGCTTCCTCCTGGCCTGCCGCTTGGGTCGGTCTGCTGCTGGTGTTGGGCTGGGCCGGTCGGCCCGTTTGCCTCGCACCTGGGCTGGAGCAGCGCCGCCGGGACGAGCGGCTCGCCTGCCTGCCTGCCTGCCAGCCAGCCAGGAGGGCTGTGCGTCCACGGAGGCCTGGCTTAGATGCGCAGGGCTGCCTGCCAGAGCCGCCCGCTGGCAGGAGGAGCCGATGGCCAGCCAGGAAACTGGGGCGGCCTTTTCGCCGCTCGAAACCCGACTGAGCTGGGTGGTTGATCGGCGAAACGTTGTGGCCCTCGGAGAGCAGATGGCTGGGCTCGTGTCACTGGAGCCGCCAGGTGGGCGCACGTTGGAGCCGCCGGCCCCGGCCTGAGCGCAGCCTGGCGCTCCCCGTGCCAGATTTGGAGGGGGCGGGGGTTCCAGCCGGCCTGCGTGCCCGGCTGGGGGGGTCAGCTGCGCGGGGGGGCACAGCCCCTTCTGCCGCCCATCACGGCTCAGAGCCGAGGGTCTCGTGTGTTTCAGTGCCTGTAACGAGTCCAGAGCCGCCCTCGGCAACGCTTCTGCGCGCACGAACGTGTCAGAGTCCGACAAGCACAATATCAGGAACTACGAGAACACGACCATCTTCTTCATCTCCAGCCTGCAGTACCTCATTGTCGCCGTCGCCTTCTCCAAGGGAAAGCCCTTCCGGCAGCCTTGCCACAGGAACTGTGCGTGCCTGCCTGCCTGCCTGCCTGCCTGCCTGCCGCGGGACCGGCCTCGCGGGGCGGGGGCTCGTGCTGCTCTCGGCGCCCTGTGGGCAAGCCACGGCTCCGGCCGGCTGCCTTCTGGGCTGGCCGCGCGGCTAGCCTGGGGAGCCGTGCTGCTGAGCGGGGCCGGAAAGGGTTCTGCTGGGGCGGCCGGCCGGCGGCTCTGGGGAGGCTCCGGGGGAGCGGGGGCTGCGGGGGTCCGGGGCACAGAGTCAGGCTGCCGGGCCGAAGTGCGGGGGAGCGGCAGCAGGCCCTGGCGCCCAGCCGTCGCCTCCTGGCAGGCAGCAGGTGGCAGTGTAGCCTTGGGCTCCTCTCCTCTCCTCTCCTCTCCTCTCCTCTCCTCTCCTCTCCTCTCCCGCCGGCCTTGAGCCTCGCCTCGCCTCGCTTCGTGGCGGTTGTGCCGGGCAGGGCTGCCGCGAGCAGGCAGACTCAGGCGCGCCTGTCTTCTCCCCGCAGACCTGTTCGTGTTCTCGGTGCTTGGCCTCTGCGCCTGCATGCTGCTCATCATGCTGCACCCGATGCAGCCCGTCGACCGGTTCCTGGAGGTGGGTGGGAGGCGTCGCTGCCCCGGGCCTCCCGGGAGCCCCAAGGTGCAGGGCAGGAGGGCTTGCGTCGCCCCCCTGTGAGCCGGGGGCTCCCGAGCAGACCTGCCCGCACCCCGCGGACCGGGCAGCCGAGTGCTTTGGGGGGCGCTGGGGAAGGCTGCTGCGCAGCTTGTGCCTTGTCCCCCTTCCTCTGCACTGGCCGGTGGGGGAGCCCCCGCCCCCGGATTTAAAAGGAGGACCAGACAGCACCCTTGGTCTGGGGCCCCCCGTTCCCTTCCCGTCCAGCCCGACCCAAAAGCGAGTGGAGGGAACCACCCCTCCGGGTTCGTGTGGGTTCTGTGCACTCTTGAGCCCACCCGGCATCTTTGTGGGGCGGAGGGGGGGCAGGTGCCGCTCTAGTGTCGCTGAAGCTTCAGGCCCGGAAGGCGAGGGGCTCCTGGGCCTGGCAGGGGCCTGTCTGGGCACAGTGATGGCGGGGGGGGGGGGTCCTGCTCGTGCGCACCGGACAGCCCCACGGTAGCCGAGGCCCGAGCAGCGAGCGAGAGGCCGCGTTCCGGGCGCTCGGGCTGCGGGGCTGACGTCCCGGGGTAGTGCGAGGGAGTTGCCTCGGCATCTGCCCCCACGCCCGCCCCACAGGAGCCCTGCCCTCTGCCTTGCAGCTGGTCTGCGTGCCCTACTTGTGGCGCCTCTCGGTGCTCCTCATCGTGGTCGTCAATGCCGGCGTGTCCATCCTCGTGGAGGTGAGTCCACGCGTGCCCGCCTGGCCCGGAGGCACATCGCCCGCCGCCCACCGCGAACGCCACGTGGGCCGCCTGCTCCGCGGCAGAGCTCGAGGGTGTCCGGCGCCCGATGCGCCAGGCCGCGTCGATCCTCGCTAACGCCGGGGGCGGGGGGGTGCTTCCGCCCGGGGCTGGGAGAACGCAGGCGCCGGCCCCGCATGCTCGCCCGTCCCCGCGCTTGTCTTGGCTCCCGAATGCTGGGGAGATGCTTGCAGGTCCCCCGTGACCTCCCAGCTGATGCGTCTTCGGCCTCTTCAGGGCGTGTTGGGGTCTAACGCAGAGTGGCGCTGAGTCCCAGGTCGGAGGTGCTTAAGGCTGGGAACCGCATTCTGCACTTGGCGCAGTTGGTGGGGAACATCGGGGTATCCATTGAAAGGGGCAGGAGATGCTGCAGGCCTGGATTCGGGGTTGAGCCCAGCGGGCTGTGAAGCCTGCGGAGAGAGCGTGGCCTGTGGCTGCGCTCACGGCACACGTGGGGCAGAATCCCTGCCCCCTTTCGGGGCACAGAGCAGAGCCGCTGCCCCCTGGCGCCACACTCGCCCGCTGCACGCCCCCTCCTGCCCCGAGCCCCTGCCCGGCATCGGTACCGCTTGTGAGGCGCTCGCTCGCTCGCTCGCTAATCGTGTGTGGTCACCGGTCTTCTTGATTCTCCTGCTCCCCGGATCATACGCAGAATTTCCTCCTTGACATGGTCCTTTGGAAAGTTGTCTTCAACCGAGACAAGCGAGGGGAATACCGCCTAGCCTCTTACTCCTCCTCCTCCTCCTCCTCCTCCCACCACCCATCACAGGTTGGAACGCTGCACTTTATTCTCCGCCCTTCGAGCATGTGACCGGCTGCGGTCGGACTCCGGAGGCTCCGCGTGGGGTGGGAGGGCTCCTCCGCGCCCCTCTTCCCGCCGTCCGTCCGCACGGGGTTCGAATCCTGCCGCAGCCGAGCCCCGGCAGTCCCGGGGGCTTCGCAGGCAGGGCCAGGCACGGCCTCCCCTCCTGCGGTTCCTGCGGGGAGCTCAGTGGGGTGCGAGTCCACGCAGCCCAGCGAGGTGGGCTCTCCAGAGAGGGTGGGCTCAGCCGGGCGGGAGCCCCATGCAGCCGCCAAACCCCGCTGATGGCCCGTGCCTCTTCCTCCTGCCCCAGCTGGGGCCCAGAGCCTTTCCGGCTGCCCCTTTGAACAGCCTGGTTGCGGGGATTCTCCGCTTGGACTCGCCTTGTGGACCCAGCACTGGCGGGCGGGAGGGGATGCCACGCCGGCTGCCCCACGTTGCTCATGCTATTCATATACGGCCCCATTCCCGCAGACTCGGGGTGCCTTGCGAGAAATTGAGCCAACAGTGAATAGCCCTGCCCAGGGCAGCGTGTTGGCTGTGAGAGTCCGGGCAGGGAGGGGCAGGCCGGTGGCTGTTGCGGGGGGCCCCTTTCAGGCCCCCGCCCATTGCTGTCTGTGGTGAGGCATCTGTGGAGCCGCTCCTGCTTGTGTGCGGTCCGGAGTGGGGTGTGTCACCCTGGCACCAGGCCCCCAAGAGGGCCATGCTGTGCCTCAGCTGCGAGAGTCGGCCTGCCTCCCATGTCTGGGGAGTCTTGCCCGCTTGCTCTGTGGCGCCGTCACGTGACGCCAAGGCAGGGAGAGTGCCACGTGGCGTGGTGGGTGCCCTCCCGTGCGACGACATCCTGGGGGCCGCTGCCTTGCGCTCGAGCTGCTGTGGGGTTCCTTCCGCGCACTTCCCTGGAGCCGCCAGGGGCAGAGACCCCCGTGGCGCCCGGGTCTGAAGGCTGGGGGCAGCCCGCGTGGTCGTGCCCGGCGGTGCTTGCTGCGGCTCTGGCAGCAAGGCTCCCAGCTGTCTCTCCGTCCCGCCCTAGGAAGCGCTGAACCGCTGGCGAGGAAGCTTCGTGCCTGCCCTGCTCCGCTTCAGGAAGAAGCCCCCGCAAGCGAAGTACATGCACCTGGCCCAGGAGCTGCTCGCGGACCCGGAATGGCCGCCCAAGCCCCACACCACGACGGAGGCCAAAGCCCTGTCCCGAGAAAATGGCTCGTGCCACATCATCACCCCGACGTAGCAGCAGGAGCCTGCTGTCCGCCCCGCAGTGGGGCTCAGGGATGCTGCAGCTGGCCGCGCACACGGGTCTCGAGCGCGGCCTCCGCCCCACCTCTCCCTTTCCCTTGGCGTCCAGTGAGAGAGAACCTTGTCCGGCAGGCACAAAACGCCGGCTCTTCCAGAGGCCTCCCGGGGCTCCCCCTTGGCCGCTCCCGTGCGCAGGCTGCACCACGGGGCACCCGTGGACCCTCTCCTGGGCCTCTGGCCCCAGCAACACCCAGCAGGCGCCTGCCTGGGCCTGGACCGCGGCGAGCGAGAGCGCCAGTGCTGCCAAGCCCGTCTCCAGAGAGCCAGCTTGCCTGTCCGTGGCGGAAGCCTGCTAGTCCACAGAGACCCACGCCAAGCGGCCGGCTCCACCCTGGCCTGACGGAGCAGCAGTCCTGCGCTGGACCTCCTGGCCGCCCACCTGCAGCCGGCTGGACGGGAGATGCTGCCTGCCACGGACTGGCCCTCTCGCCCTGGCTCAGCACAGGGAGGGGGCGGGGGGCGGCGTCCGTGCATCCACGTTCCTGCCACCCCGTCTGGTGAAACGCGCCCCAGAGCTGCGGACGCTGCCCCCAGCCTCGGACCTGTTTATGCACTTGTGTGGGGGCAAGCGGGGAGCCATTCCTCCTTCCGACGGGGAACTCGGGCTGGCGGGTGCCCAGGCCAGTAGGCTGTCAGGGCTGGCCACCCGTGCCTCCGCCATCCGCCCTCCGACGTCGATGGGATCCGGCGAGCAAGGGGCCATTTCCGCCCTAGGCGCCCCCATCCCGGGCGGCTGGCGGAGGAGCATCAGGGCCGGCCCACGGCCGCCTCGCCTCGGCGGCTGCCCCGAGCACTTTGGTGGGTGCTGCTAGAAGCAGCTGTCGGCCTTCTGGAAGAGGCGACGGGCCCCCAAGCGCAGCAGCATGGAAGCGCCCGGAAACGGTTGTGGTTAAAGTCCGTGGGGCTCCCGGTGGTTGGGCTGCGTGCGCCTGTTCTCCCCCCCGCCCCATTCCGAGGAGACCCTCGCACACGTGCCGCTGCCACCATGTGTGGCGCACGCACCGGCCCGGGATGGGGAAGCCCAGAGCCAAGGGGCCCGGCCCAGCCACGAGGGCTCCTCCGCCCGGGAAGGGGGCGCTGCGCCCCTCGGGTGGGGACACGGGCACTGTGCCGCCGCCCGCCTGACATCATCCCCCAGGGGCTGCTGAGCCTCCTCGGAGGGCGGCTGGCGCACGAGGCGGCTGCTCCCCTGGCTCTTGCCCGAGCTCTTTGCCAGGCGGCCCCGGCACCCTCGGGGCATCCCTTCCGGGCAGGCCGTGGGGCTCCCGCGAGTGCCACGCAGCGTGGAGGCAACGGAGGGGTGGGAGGCAATCGCCCCTGGGGGGGGGTGGCTGGTCTGCCCCCGGGGGGCAGCTTGGGTCTTCACAGGGGTGGGGCGGGAGCAAAGGGGGCGCTGATGCAGCCCCCTCCCCCTCAGAAAATGGAACCGGTTATTCGGGCAGGAAAGGAGTTACCTCAAGAAGCTGTGCGCCCCTTGGCCGGGAGCAGCGGCGGCTTGCGTGCGGGGAGGGGAGGCCGTGTGTGTGTGTGGGGGAAACGGGAAGGGGCAGCAGGTGGGCAGCACAGCCTCGTGCGTCTTCCAGGCACGTCTCTCTCCGGCCGTGCTCGTGCTGGGGGGCAGCGGCTGCCGGGGAGCCCCCTTGGGGGTGCTGGCGGGGGCCGCCTCATGCCGGGGCCCTTGAGTGAAACAGTTTGCACGTGTTTGGCACACCTGGGGCCGGAGCCCCCCTGTCCCTGGGGCTGGGCGGGTGGGTCGCGCCCGTCGCTCCTTCGGGCGGGAGGCATCCCTTCCACAGCCTTCGCCGAACTCCCCGGGGACCTTGCGGTGGGGGCACCCGTCTCCCGCCAGCCGTTGGGAGAGGTTTCGCCTGCTCAGGTCTGGGGAAGCCGGGAGCGTCGCGGCTCTGCTCGGCTCCCACTTTGCGCTCCTGGGCTGGTGGCATTAAAATCAGCAACCGGAAGGATCCATGTTTCTGTGAAATCTTCCTGCACGTCAGGTGAGCAACATAATTTAGGGAGACCTTTGCCATGCTTCGACGAGGGCTTTGTTTTGTATTTCTGCAGTCAGGTCCCGCTTCGTGTTGATAACTTGGATTCAGAGTTTCTTATTAAATTATTTGTGTTATGCAGACCTGAAATCTAATTCTATCTTTTGGTATGTTAGGATTATAAATACGGCCAATTAAATTCTATTTTTTTATTATTATTTATGCACATACCTAAAGCACTCACTGGCTCAAGGAAAGAGCACTTGTTAAATTATCTTTTAAAATATATAACCAGACTTTTAAATGATACGTCCCTCAGGGTTATTTTTATTAAAGTTTTTCCCTTCCTCCCTCCCTCCCTCCCTCCCTCCCTCCCTCCCAAAGAGTGGGAACCGCAGGATGTTGCCGTCCGTCCCATGCCTTCTGGAGCAGCGGGGCCCGGGGGACGCAGGAGGCGCTCGGCACCCACCCATGGCCCCCAGGAGCCTCTTGCTGCCCGAGGGGCCCTCCTGGGCCGCTCCGGGCTCTGTGCAGGGTGGCGGTGCCCCCCGGGACGGTCTGCATGCCGCCTTGGCCAGGGGAGGGCGGGAGCGTGCAGAGCTGCCGTGCCCCGCTCTGGGGACCACCCTTCGTCCTGTTGTGCTGTTTAAATTGGACATTTTAGCAAAGTGCACTAATAGTTTTTAGTGGACAGTGTTGGCAGAGAGAGTGGTAAGCAGTTCACCCTCAGCTGGGCGAGTCCTCCTCCCGCGGTATCGCGTCTGCATCTTCAGTGTTCGTATTAGAGAGGGCTCCCCTCCCTCAGTGCGGCAGGTCCTCCTGACCTGGAATGGCTTCCTTGATCCGCACAGGTGTCGACACCTCAGAAGGGCTTCCTGACTTATCCCTCCAAATTCCAGATTCTAAACATGTGCTGACATACGATGAAAACGTTTCTTCAATGGCTCAAGGCTGTGCTGTCGGGCTTTAAGAAAACTCATTTCCGATGAATGTGCAAGCGGTTGGTTTTACGCACGCCTACCGGTACCTTCTCAGGTCAAGTCCTGCTGTAACCGGATCGGGCCCCAGAGCCGTGGAATGTTCTGGGCACCTGCTGGCCCGCGAAGGGCTCCTTCCAACCCAAAATGTAGCTTGCTGCTTTTATGATGGTACCCAGTTGTAATAAAGGCATTTTGTACAATTGTACTTAGTAAAAACCCTGGTAAAGCTCTTTTTGTTCTTCAGGCGATTTGCAATAAAAACGTGATCGGCTTGCCCGTTGCACTTCCTCTGCCTCCCCCAGTTCTGCCTTCATCGGGGGGGGGGGGGGCTGCTTAGTCACCAGGAAGAGCGATTTCTCAATAAAGCGAGTATTCTTCAGAATCCTTATTTTCTCCTGTCAAAAGGCCTTGAGGTGGTTCTTCCTGACAAATAAGCAACCCCGGCTAACTGAAAGCGGTATTCAGTAGCCAACTAACCTGCATGCCAAGGCCTGCCTGCGAAAACGCGCCTTTGCCTGCCCCCAGAAGAGCAATGGGGAGGGGGCCGGCAGGGAGCATCCCCCCAAGGGCCCCACAGGAGGGCCGGCCTGGGAGAAGCCTGGCCTGGCACTGAGGCCTGGCACCCTCCTCGGCAGGGCGGCTCTTCTGGGGAGCCTTGACTTGCCCAGGCCTGGCAACGGGCTGATTGGTGGGGGGTTGGTCCCCAGCCGGCCAGGCTGCCGTGCAGGAGGATCCACACGCAGCCTGTGCCCAAAGTGGGGAAGTAGAAGTGGGGTGAATCCGTCTGAGAGCCTTTCTGAATGCTGCCTCGTTCTCGGCCCTCCCTAGGAACGGCCAAGGGATGCTTGGCCCTGCCTCCTCTCTCCCAAAATGCATAAAAACAAACGTTTTATTTTGGTGTGACCACACTTAGAATATTGTGTGCAGTTATTGTTTGATTTCTAACGCACCCTATTAGCCACACGGCTCCCAGGGCAGGTTACAAGAAACCCAGATGAAATCGTATAAAAGCCCGAGGAACTGCTGTAAAGCAAACGAGGAGGCACCCAGGCTGGCCAAACCGGTGACTTCATAAAATGCTGGTGAAGTGCAAGGCCTTTGCCTGGTGCCCAGAAGAATATGGAGAGGGTGCCAGGCCAAGCTCCCCGTGGAGCTCATTCCTGAGGCAGGGGGCCACCCCAAAGCGCCCTCCTTGGCCCCCATCGGGACAGACTAGCCCCCCACCAGCAGTACCTCCGTCTTCTCTGGATTGAGTTTCGGTTTGTTGGCCCTCATCCAATCCAAGCGAGGCCAGACTCGGAGCATCCACAGCCACGCCTGCATCCAGCGAGGACAGGTAGAGCGGAGTGTCACCTGCACGCAGGTGACGGCTCCCCTTACGCCTCCTGACAATCTCGCCCAGTTGTTGCCGTGCCAGGAAAAGGACGTTGCGAAACTGGGGAAAGGGGGGGCAACAAAAATGAGCGGGGCTGAAGCAGCTAAAATAACGGCTGGTGTGGGGAAAGTGGAGACGAGGGACCTGCCTTTCTTCTGCTCCTGTAAGAACAGAACCCAAAAGGTTACCCCACGAAGCTGATTCTCGGGCAAGCAATCCTGTGTGGCCACCGTGGTTCGCAGTCGTGCGCCGTGATCTACCCAGCAGACGATCAAGGCGTTTCTCTGCTGTCCCTGCACAGCCCTCCTGCTTTTGGCACGTGTCCCATGAGCCACCGTGCCTGCAGTTCAGGCCCAGGGCTGCATTGCTCTCTGCCCATATCGCCTGCCTCTTCCTCATTAGCAGGCAGGGAAGAACACGGGAAGCTGGATGGCTGGAGGGGCTCCAAGAGGGGCTCTTGCCCAGGGACTTTGTGCTCGTGGCCTAGCGGGGCTGTGGAAACCATGATCCTGGCCTTGGCCAACACGACGAGCCAACAAGGGCGAAAACCCAGCGGCTCGTGTCTGGGGGACTCAAAGGCATGTGGGGCGGCTTCCTAGGAGCGGGGTGCCAAGCAGTCTTGCTGCCACTGAGGGGGCATCGCTTCGCTGCGACTCCCCCAGGAAAGAACTTCATTTGCAATGGGAAGGCTGAAAACGGAAGCGCCATGAGGGCCGCAGGGAGCACCTTAGCCAAGGGAGAAGAGCAGGAACGGGGGTCATTTTGTGCCCTGAATGCTGCAGGCAGTGCTGGCGGCCAGGGTCCTTGGCTCCCTCAATGGGCAGCACACTGTGGGCCCCCCTGAAACGGGCGCAGGGCTGAGGCGGGCTGGACAGGCGTCTCGTGACCCGTCCCCGTCGGCAGGGACCGGTCCCGGGAAGTCGTGCTTGGCTCGGCCTCTCCAGGGCGCCTCCTTCCCCTGCTGCTCACGCGGTATCTCTTCCTGCCTCGGGCCAGGAAGGCCGCAGCCCCCACACCCGGTCTGCCTGCTCCCGAGCGATTAGCTCTTGGCCACGAGGCCACGGAAATCCCCAGGGCTGGAGCAGGACCCACGGCTCTTATCTCGGCCAGTGTCACGTGCCCGCCCTTCCTGGAGGCTGCTGGTGTGGAGGCACCTCCATTCGGCGGCCTCCCCCGGGACTGAGCGAAGCGTCTCCGCGAGGTGAGTGGCCGCTCTGGGGCTGGGTCACCTGGCTGGCCTGCAGGGGTGGCCAAGCGGCTCTGCACCCCCGGCCCCTCGGGACCCCGGCCTCTGGCAGCACTGGGGTGCAGATGAGGCCCGGGGGGGGGGACCCGGGTGGGAGTGCCCCTGCGGTGGGCGCAGGGCCTTGGCCAGTCCTGCAGCGGGAAGAGCCCAGAGGCCCCTCTTCTCTCTGGCGGTGGCGAACCAGAGGCCCCGTCGGAGCCGCGGGTGCAACTGACCCAGCATGGCGTCCTGGGGGGTGGCGGAAGCTGGGCGTTGGAGATAGGATTGCCAAGGCCATATTCCCCTTATACACATCTGTGGCGCAATCACACTTGGAATACTGTGAACAGTTCTGGTTGTTGCCCCTGAAAAAGAACATTATCGAGTGGGGAAAGCGCAGCTAAAATGCTGGGCAGGCTGGAGCAAAGGCTGTAATAGTTGGCATTGTATCCTTAAGAAAAAAGGCAAGCAGGGGAAACATGAAAGAGGTGTTCAAAATTTTCCATGGTACAGAGATAGTGGCGAGGGAGACATTTTTCTCCGTGTGTCTCCAGAGTGCCTGAACCTGATTGGTGGGAGCTTCAGGACAGATGGAAGAAAGGTATTTTTAATGGAGTTAAACTGTGGAACTCACTGCCACCGGAAATAGTGATGGCCTCTAGTCTGGAGCATTTTAAAAGGGACTGGACCAATCCATGGAGGAGGAGGGTATCCGTGGCCACTATCCTTGCTGGCCGTGCCCCGACTCCGTCATCAGGGCCAGCGGGCCTGCGTACACCAGGCGCTTGGCAGACAGACTCCTTGCACCTGTCCCACTCCTGGGCACACCGAGTACCGGGCACCACATGGGCGGACCTTTGGCCTGCTGTTCCTCTGCTCTTCCAGCATGAGGTCAAGCCGGCCCCCTGTGGCTGCTCGCCCCAGAGCCACCCTGCAGCACCGAGTGAAGCCCGGAAGCTGCTGGGAGCAGCATCTGCCCGTCGATGCCTCCTTGTGCCGAAAAAAGCCACTCTGCCCCCGTCCCCAGAGACGTCACCTTGCTGGGATTGCTTTCTCCTGGGCTCATCGAGTGGCTGATGCTCGATTCAGGGGGGGCAAAGCGGTTGCGGGAGCCCTTCGGGCAGGGGAGGCGTCCCCCCAGCGAGCAGAATGCTTGCAGGAAAAGAAACTTTTCCCATGTTCAGACAGAAAACTGTTGTGCAAGCAGATCTCAAATATGCCTCACGCACGTGCACAGGGGTCCCTCCAGGGCCGCCCCTGAAATGGGGAATCGTGGAATCATAGAACAGAACAGTTGGGTCCATGCCCCTGCTTAGGGCAGGACCCCCGGGTGGGCCATCCCCTCAGGGGGCTGTCCAGCCGCCTCTCAAACGCTCCCCAGGTCAGGGATTCCTTCGCCGTCGCAACAGTCCAGGAGTTCCCCCGATATCTGGCCGGAACCAGGTTTCCTGTAACCCGAGGCTGCCATTCCGTGCCCTGCAGCCGGGGATGATGGAGGAGGGAGCCTGACCTCCCTCTGCCACAGCCGTCCTGTCTCCCCTCGGCCTTCTCTTCTCTTCTCGAGGCTGCACGTGCCCAGCTCTTCCCCCTCCCCTCGCAGGGCTCCGTCTCCCCCTCCAGAGCGGGATGCAGAACTCCAGATGAGGCCTCAGCAGTGCTGTGGGGGGACGGATGGGGACGGGCCCGTCGCCTGATGTGGAAGTGCCAGTTCTGCTCCCGGAGCCCAAAACAGCTCTTGCCTTCTCACAGCCGCCTCACGCAGGCAACTCTGATCCAGCTTGCGGCCTGCAGCAACGGCTGCTCAACCCGAGCGGGTCGGCCCTCCCTGCTAGGCAGCGCTCTGCCTGCCTCGGCCTCTCAGTCGTCTTGAAGCCACGGCTTCTCTGCTTTTCCGCACCTTTTCTCCCAGACTGAGGTTCTCCAGCGCTCCTCCAGGGTGAGTGCTCATCTAGACTTAGCATTACAGACAAGCACCGACATGGCCAACCTCCGCTGTGCTCTTCCTCCCCGCCCCCATTTTTGTGAGTTTCTTCTTCCGCCGGCCAGGCCCCTTTCGGGGCTCGCGTGTGTCGGAAGGTCCCCAAGCAGCCCCGGCTGAAGCTGAGCGAGTTTGCGCTTCCGAGGCCGGCTGCCGAGGACGTCGCGCCGGCTGCCTTCGTTTCCAAATGGAAGGGAAACGGCTGCTACTCTTCCCGAGGAGGAGAGTGAGGCGGCCAGTGCAGGGCTGCCCACTTGAGCAGCGGAAAGGCGGGTTCCCCTTGAGGCCCAGGATGGCCCCAGCACCGCAAGCCAGTGAATTGCCCTTTCTTGCCACCAGCACGAACCTGCTTCTGGCATTCAAGGCTTTCCCGAAATGCACTAGGCCAACTCGGGCTCGCCACTGACTTGCCCTTCTCGACGTTTCAGGCTGAGATGCGGCCACCGGGCCTGCCCCTCTGGCCAGTGGCTCTGCTGCTGCTCCTCCCTCAGCCCAGCACGGAATCCGAGTCCGAGTTCGAATGCAGCTTCATCCTGAAGGACGCCTTCCGCTGCTCTGGAGCCGGAATCCACAGCCTGGCCTCGCTCAGCATCCCCAACAATGTCACCCAGATGCTGATCATGGGCACCAGTGCCTCGGAGCTGCCGGACGGCCTGTTCTCCGACGCAAACGTGCTCCAGCTTCTCATGCTGTCTTCCAACCAGCTCTCCACCATCTCTCCCGGATCCTTTAAAAGCCTGGTGCATTTAAGGACCCTGAAGTTGAACAACAACAAACTGAAGCAGCTGCCCAGCGGCGTGTTTGATTCTCTGGTCCACCTGCAGCAGCTGGTCTTGGAGAGCAACCAGCTGTCCAGCCTCCAGCCGGGCATCTTCGACCAACTGAAGGGCTTGCAAGGGCTCCTGCTGAACAAGAATTTCCTGACTGCGCTTCCGGCCGGGCTCTTCCGCAACCTAATCAAGCTCAAGGAGCTGAACCTCTCCAGAAACCAGCTGGGCACCCTGCCGACAGACACCTTCGCCACCTTGCCCAAGCTCAGGAAGCTGTTCCTGTACTCAAACCGCCTCGCCTCCATCGAGCCCAGCTTATTTGCACACCAGGGCGACCTGCTGGAGCTCCGGCTGCACTCCTGTGCCATCCAGTCCATCGCCCCCGGCGCGTTTCACAGCCTCCTGCAGCTTCAGGTCCTGACCCTGTCGGGCAACCGGCTGCCCTCGCTGCCCGCCGAGCTCTTCCTCCACCTGCACCACCTGTCTGAGCTGACCTTGCACAGGAATCCGCTGCAGGCCCTCCCGCGCCAGCTGTTTGGGCAGATGCCGCACCTCCAGAGGCTGTGGCTCTACGACACCGATCTCGCCACCCTCCCGGCCCTCGCGCTGAGCAACCTGACCCAGCTGGAGCTGCTGGTGCTGACGCGGAACCACCGCCTGAGCGCCCTCCCGGCCGAGGCCTTCCACGGCCTGGCCCGCTTGCAGGCGCTCTCGCTGCACTCCAACAACCTGTCCAGCCTCCCGGACCAGCTCTTCAGGGGGCTGGGCAGGGTCCGGGAGCTGTCCCTCTTCGGCAACCGGATCGCGACGCTGCCTCCGAACGCCTTCCAGCACCTCGAGGGCCTGCAGAGCCTCTACCTGAACAGCACCGGGCTGCACTTCCTCCCCGGGGACCTCTTCACCTCCCTGCCCAGGCTGCAGAAGGTTTGGCTGGGCAGGAACCCCTGGCACTGCCACTGCGAACTGCGGGCCTTCGCCGCCTGGCTGCGGAAAAGCACTGGCGTTGTGCAGGACACCACGGCTGTGACCTGCCACAGCCCCCCGGCGCTGCGGCACACCCCCGTCCTCGCCGTGCCAGAGGGCCAGCTGGCCTGTGTGGGCACCACGGCCTCTGCCCGCCAGACATCGCGAGGCACCACCAAGGCCGCAACCGCACCCTGGCGGTCGACGCCTGGCCCCTCGCCAGCGCCCACCAGCGGCTCGACCCCCACCTCTCCTTCGCCTCCCCCGGACACGACGGGCCCCACGGTGCCTGGCATGCCTCCCAGAGCTGTCCCTTCGGAGACGCACTTCCCTGCAGAGGAACGCTACCGGCTGGAAGAGGGGGCGGAGCCTGAGATGCTCTCCACCGTGTGGCCGAGGGGGCCGGCGTCCACTTCCACGGGCCACATTGTTTGTTGGTTCTCCGGCCCATACCTTGTGGCCCTGCTGGCGCAGGCAGTGGCTTTCCTGGTCACGTCGTATGTGGCGCACCAAGTCAGGCGACTGGGGCAGAGGAGGAGGAGGAGAGCCGCCACGGCTGCCACCGCCACCTCCTCCGCCCATGCGCTCTCGGCTGTGGTGGCTGAGCCAGGCGCTTGGGCACCAGGGGACAGAGCCTGGTGCACCATTAAGCTGGTTCTGCCAGGCACCCTGCGGCCAGCCTGAGGTGGCGGCATGTGGTGCTGCCTTGTGGGGACCCCCCCCCCCCAGTCTGAGCAGTGGGCCCTTTGGCTCAGGTTATCCAAAGGGGGCTTGTACCTGTTCTCTCCCACTGGGATACACTGAGGGGGGAGTGGGGAGCCTGCCGGTCACCGTGTCCAGAAGGGCGCACCTGGCAGGGCAGACGGGGAGTGGGGCTTCTGCCCCTCTGAGATTGCCCCGCCTGGTGCTGCCCCGCCTGGGCTTCTCCTGTGCTCCAGTCTGAGTGGGGTGCGAGACGTGAGCATGAAGCGCAAGATAAAAGCATGCTGATCGAAACCACGTGTGCAGAACATGCAAGCCTGCACATATTGGACTGATTTGCGGGACTCTGCGGAGAACTGGAGCTGCGTTAGGATTTAATTTTCAGCTTTAATTGTCTCGTTCCTGAACATAATGATTTAAATGCCTCAGTGACTCGCTGCTTCTTGCAGCCGGAGCGAAGCTGACGTCAGTCCGCACGGACCGCGCGCCGGTCGCCGGTGGCTTGGGCGCTGCCGTCCGGGGCGCGCGGGGGCGCGAGCAGGGCTCGGGCGGGCCGTGCGCGGGGGCGGTCCGGCCCCGCGCCCCCCTCCTCCCCTCCCTCCGCCGCGCGAGAGCAGGGCTGCCGCTGCACCGGGGCGCCCGGCCCGGCCCGGCCCTCCCCGCGGCTAATTTTAGCCGCTGCGCTCATGCGCGAAGCAGCCGCGGCCGCAGCCGAGCGCTGGCTCAGCGGGCCGGGCGCGGGGGGCGGGGGGCCGCAGCCCGGCGGCTCGGCTCCCCCCGCGGAGAAGGCGTCTCCGCGCCCCGGGGAGCTCCAGCCCCACGTGCAGCGGGGGGGGCGGGGGGGCCGCCGTGTTCCCGGGCCTTCGGCCCCTTCGCTTACGGACTCGCAGCCCAGCGCTTTCCCGGGGATCCCAGGCCATCTTCCTTGGAAGCGCCCCGGCCGCGAGTCACAAGCAGCCACGCCGCGTGGTCCCTGGGATGGGGGGGTGCGGGGGGCTTTCGCCGCATTCCAGCTGACAGGCTCCCCTGTTTCCTGCATGGTCCCCCCCCCCCCCCCCCCCCCCCCCCCGCGGCCTGCATCCTGTCAGCCACCGAACTGTCCTGGGGCGCTCCTGCCTCCCCGCGGGCCGCTTCCCGACTCGCCACCAGCCCCCTGGCCGCGTTTCACCCCCCTCCCTCGGCCATGCCGCCCGCCCCCGCCCGGGGAAGGCCCGCTCCCTGCGGCGGTGCTGCTGCTGCTCTTCGCACGACCCGGCCCGCCCTTGCCGAGGCCTGGCCTCACGCGGGTGCCCCCCGCCCCCCGCGAGGGTCTCGAGGAGAACCGGCCTGTGGGAGCGCTTGCCCTCCACCCACAGTCCTCCCCACCTTTGGGCGAGGGTGGGGCCCGTCCTCCCTCCCCACCTGCCAGAAATGCCGGGCGCCTGCTTGCTGGGCCGGCGCAATCGTCTTCCACACGGCGAGGGGGAAGCTCCCCCAGCCCCGCTGAAGGGCCCGTGGCCGTCGCAAGCCCTCCGAAGAGGAAAGCTCTTCTGGCCCAGCCCGATAAGGAAGTTGTTTCTAGGAAGGTTTCTTCGTGCAGGGACTGCAGGAATCATCTCAAGGGAGCCTGCTGCCTCCCACACACTGGGCCCCTAGCGGAACGGCTTCCCATGTGCCAGGAAGCTTCCAGGCGTGTTGCGGGGCAGATGCAAGGCACAGCGGCCCAGACTGGCATCTGGGACCTGCAGAAGGCCGAGAGCAGCACAGAGCTGGGCACACGCCAGGCTGCCCTCCACTGACCGACTCCTGGGTGACCACAGAGGAGATGCAGGGGGAGGGGGACTGAGAGGTGGAAACTGGATAGTAGAACCCGGATTGGTAGAATGGCTCCTAGAGTGGTCGCTCCTTCCAGGGGACTCTGTGGTAGTTGAATACCAAGACTGTCATGAGACACCATCATGGTAAGCAGAAACCACAGAACAAACGGGGTTTTTTTATCAGTTTCTAATGGCAAACCTATCCCCCTGAAACACCTGACTGGATTAATGCATCAAAAAAGCATAGCAAAAACCCACCACAGCTTGCCATGCTGTGTGAGTCTAGTCACTTGGTCCTCCTGGCCCGCAGGGCGGGGACTCCTGTTGCTGTTCTGGGCCGCCTCCAATGTCCGGCAAGCCCGAATGGAACCCCCCGGAATGCCCCATCCGTGCCAGCCTTGCTCAGCTCTTGCAAATCCAAGGCTGGGCTTCCTTTACGGACTCCGTCCCCCTCGTACAGAGCAAAGCCATGCAGATCGGACCTTTGGTCCACCCCGTCCGGCACTCCATTAAGAGGGTGGCGAGCCGGCTGCCCCGGGCGAGCAGGATGGGTGCAAGACCTCGCCTGCCCAGCTCCTCGGCCGCAGGCGTGTGCAGGCGCGAGCCAGCAGGGCCTGCAGCCACCGAGAGCCCCCGCCCTCACGAACTGGCCCAGTCCCCCGAAAGCCAGCCCGACGGGGGGCTGTCGGCACCTCCTGCGGCAGTGAATGCTGCAGCCGAGCAGCAGCACTTTTCCCAGCTCAGCGGCGCCAGAGCCGTGCACAGCGTCCTGCCTGCAGTTGCGGTGTGCGGAAGGCGAGTCCCTTGTCTCTTCTGCTTGTCATGATGCCTGCGTGCAGTTTGCCTTTTCCCAGCCGCTCCGCACTGGGCCGACCTTTCCATCGGGCTGGCCCCACACGCAGAGGGAGCCCCCCCCCCGCTGCCCCCTGTCTTCCTCGTGTTCTTCTTCTCCTGGCCTCCACTGGGCCTTGCCGGCTCTCTGCTGATGTGCCAATGGCTCCGTTTCATCATTTTGCTTTCGCGGAAAGTTCTGGCTTGCTTTGGTCCAAGGCCCACTTGCTTGTCTTCCTGTTGGCCGGGGTTTTGACAAAGCTTTCCTCCAGCACCATGTTTTGAGCACACCCACTTCCCCCGGCTCCTTTCCTCGCTGCCCGGCTCTCACGCTGCCCCCTCCCGTGCTGCCACTCTCCAGCTCCTGCAGCCCCACATCTGCGGGAGGTAAGGGGCTCCTGACGTGCCTTCCCCCACATCTCCCGCAGCAGCGAGGGCAAGCTCTGGATGGGGCAACTGGCCCTTGGCTGCCTTTCGCAAAAAGAAGCACGCGGGGCTCCTGCCGCTGGTTCATTTCCAAGTGCCTCCGTGTTTGGCACTGCTGTGCCGTCTGCTCCAGCCAGGAATCTGCTTAACGAAAGCGCAGGCCTGGCCGGCCGGCCCCGTCCAACTTGGCATGTGTAATAACATGGTTTTGCTACTGTAGGAAAGCCTTTTCGCTCTGCAGTCTTACAATGGTGTGTTTTGAAAGTTAAATCAGTACATCTGATGCTAGTCCTACTTAAAGTAGGCCCCTTGAAATGAGTGCTGTGTCCAGTGAGACGTGAGAATCACACTGGAGGCAGCACTGTGGTGGGGCTCGCTCACCGTGCAAAGCCGCTCTGGCGTCACAGTGTGGTGGCTTAGCACGTTCTCCACACCCAGCACCTCTCCCAGGGTTGGGTTCTGCCCATCCCAACAAGCCACGGTTTGTTGTAGCTTGCATAGCCATTCCCGGGCTTTTGCAGTCATCTGAACAGGCTGTTACAGGTAGGGGCCAAAGCCCACGGAGAGCCTGGCAAGAGCGCAGAGAGGGCCGTCGCCGTCGCCACAGGGTGCCCAAGTGGCAGGAGGACTCGGAAAGGCAGAGGCAGCTCCAGGCCCTCACGGTGCCCACCCTTCTGCAGAGCACGCGGGGGGTCCGCGGTACGGCCCCGTGTGTGGCGGGACCTGGCCAAGGGACCAATCGCCACGGAGTGCATTTAACCCCAACCCCAACCCTCGTGAGGGAGGTGGAGAGTTAACACCGTGTGCGGTGAGGACCTTCGGACCTTAGCAGAATGTTTGGAGGAAATAAAATAGCCACATGTTGCGTAACGGTTTTGGAATGCATGAACAGACTGTACTTTCCTGAGGGTGGCTGTGTTCGTCTGCAGCCGCACAAGCAACCAAGAGTCTCCAAGCATGAGAACCCACACCAGCCCTGCTCGATCCGCCCAAGGCCCACCTAGTCCAGCTTTCTGCTCACGCGGGGTGAGCCAGCTGGCCCAGGATCCCTCAAGCGGGGCAGGAAGGAAGCAGCTTTCCACCCACGCCCTACCAGCTGGGGCACCCAGACGTCCCATCCCAGAGGCCGGAGCCTGCGAGTAGCCATCGGGGCTAGCAGGCCCTGGCGCCCCCCTCCTCTGGGAGCCTGTCGGACCCCCTTTCACAGGCATCCACGTTGCCGCCCATCACCGCTTCCCAGGCGGCGGATTCTTTGCTTTGACAATGTCCTGGTTGCAGGGGGTCTTCCTGTCTGCTGTCCATGGGGTGGCCTCAGATCTGAGTGCTACGGGGCCCCTTTCTCTGCACTGTGCATTCTTTTAAACGCCTCGCTCGCTCGCTCGCTCGCTCGCTCGCTCGCTCGCTCGCTCGCTCGCTCGTGTCTCCCCTCCCTTGCTGGTTCCTCTGAGCTGAGCAGCCCGGGGTGTCATAGCTGCTCTTCAGGGGAAATGGCTCCGGCCCCCTGTTGCGGGAAGCCGCTGCGGGGTCTTCCGAGCCCCTTCTGGCTCCCAGGGCTGCACCTCCAGAGGCCGCCCTTCCCCGGGGCGGGTCCCAAGGCTAGTGAGGGGCTCTCTCGCCAGCTCTGTCCCGCGGGGCCACAGAGAACGGCACCGCAGAGTATGGGCTCTTGGAGCTTGCTTTGCATGTGTTTAAGAGTGCAAACCCGAAGGCAAAACTAAGTGCCACATGTAGAATGCAAATGCAGACACTGACATGGAAAAAAATAATAGTTACATTACTGGGCCAAAGGTACGTGTCACAAATAAAAGGGGAAAAACCCCGCCCAAAACTGATTCTTTTGACATCTCAAACCCTTTCCCTTTATTTAGAACATAGTCAGCAAATACACCCCAAATCTCATTAAATTTAGCTTTCTTTATGTACCGTCTTCTCACTTTAACATCACATGTTGCCATTAATAGCTATATTCAGACAATCATAGTATTTCCAATTCTTGGCTACAATTAGTCTTGCTGCAGTTATTAAATGTGCTATGAATTCTTTGTTCTTCCAACTCTTCTTTTTTATCAAGTATTGGCAGTAATGCAATCCCAGGGCACGTGTCTATATTTAGACTTAATGCTTTACTGCCCTCTTTAAGAACCTCCCCCCAAACTTTCGTTGTGCAGTCACATTCCCAGCACGCATGAAAATGTGCACCCGCTTCTCGACCGCATCGCCAGCGCGGGTGGGACTCTGGCTGCAAAGAGCTGCGTTTTCTGTGTTGTCGAGCTTTCATCTTACAACTTGACAAAGAGCAGATCTCGGCTGGGAAATGTTTCTTCTGTCCTAAACATCTCCAGATGGTGTTGCTCACGTCCCAGAGAGGCCGAGCACTTCTGGCAGAGCCGCCTGCGGAACTGCAGCTCTCTGGCCGGTGCGGATCTTTGTGCGTGTGTGTGTGTGTGTGTGTGTGTGTGAGAGAGAGAGAGAGAGAGAGAGAGAGAGAGAGTGCGCTCCTGCGAGCATGCACATATGGAGAGGAAGGAGGCGAAGGAGGCCCGGCCCGGCCCCTGAGCGTGAGAGAGCAGGCCAGGCGCGGCGACCGACCGACCAAAGGCTATTGAGAAGCCCAGCATATTCGAAAATATATTCTGAAGCTTTCGCAGGGAAACAGCGAATGCCCCTTACCCTCCTAACTGAATGGTTTCTAGCGAGGTGAGCGCCAAGGGCCATGCGAGGGCTCCAGGCGTGCGCCCATGTGCAGGGGCACCACCTGGGCCAGCTGCCGGGTGAACAACCTGTGGTGGGCCTGGCAGACCCCCGGACTCACCGCGGCTGGGCCCCCTCCCTCTTCTTTCGCCTCCCCCCAGTCCTCTTGGGGATGTCCCAAGGGACACCGCAGCAGGACGGCATGCTGTGAATGTTCTGTGGCTTTGGGCTCTGCAGGCACGGTGGTCCAAGCGTTTAGGAAAACGGGCTGCCACAGCCCCCGCCCGCTCTGACAGCCGCAGGCCACCCCCTCCGCTTGCCCCAGCAGGGCTGGGGGGCACCCCCCCTGCTGTGCTTTAAGGGGGCTTATCCTCAGTGATGTCCTCAGATACTTGCAGTTTTGAAGGGGCTCACACTTGCGCAGCTGGGAAGGCCCCCACGCACCCACCCTGGCCACGCGCCCACAGAGGCCGACCTCCCACCTCCTCATGTTCCCCTGGAATGAGGGGAGATGGTGCTCTTTGTGCGTACGCCATGCAAAGGAAAAACTATAATTGAACCCTTGCCCAGAAGCCCTGCATGAGAACCCACTCCAACCCACCCTGCCCAAGCGGGGAGGGGGGTGGCTGGGGGGGGGGCAGGGCTGTTCCAGAGCCTCTGACACATACAGAGAACAGAACTGAGCAGGTGAGATCTCCAAAGCCGCTCACTTCTTGCAGAAATGGCACCGCCTCCGAGGTTCCTGTTGCCTCCAAGCTGTTGAGTGCCTGGAAAAGAATCGGGACCCCCACCCAAGTTCGTGCCTGGACTTCTCCGGGGCCCGGCTGCAGATCCTCTTCTCCGGAGCCTGCGAAGAAGAAGAAGGCCTGCCTGGAAGCTCTGCGGCCAGAGGCTGGCGGATGAGCCCGTGGAAGCATTGCCCAGCGCCCTCTGAGCTCGCTGCCCCACGCCCTAAGGCGGACAGAGTGGGGGTGCTGGTGGGGGCTGAGAATCTCCCCTCCTTCCGGGGGAACACGAGGAGTTGGGAGGTCAGCAGAACGGCCAAAATCCTCTTGCCAGACAGTTCATGTCCTGAGAAGTGGATTCTTGTGGAAAAGGAGGCGGCTGAGATAAGCAAGCTCCATCTCGCGGCCAGGAGGAAGCTGGTGGGCATCCAGGATCGCTGAGCCGGCAGCCAGAGCTCTTTCCTTGTGCTGGACCGTGGCAGCCAGCATTCGGGCCCGCTTTCGGACTGTCTTCTGTCACCCTGTGGGGTGATCTATGTCAAGCGGGGCTAATCAATTAATTACTCTTACCTCTGGCCCCAGAGTCCAAGGGCTGGGCTTCCGGGGAGCCTTTAGTGCCCCCTGCTGAGGTTTCCTTCAGGAAAGGCTGCCCGACCGGGGACTTGCTGGGTGGCCCAGCCGTGGTCCTGCTCGTCCGCTAGCAGCCACTTCAGAGGAGGTGGCTCGGGGTTTTCTCGGGCACTGTTGCTCCGGCTCCGACAAGCACCTGCCTCGTCTCCAGGGCCGATCAGCACCAGCAGTCCGAGATTCAGGAGCGCGCGCCAGCCGGTGCCAGATCCCTTGAGCTGAGGTCAGAGCCTGGCTGCAGCAAGGGCCGAGCGAGGGCCAAGGGGCAGCCCAGGCAGCTGGGGGGGGTGCCCCCTCTGGCTGTGGTGCTCATCCCACCCCAGAGGGGACCAAGCGGCCCCCGAGTGGCATTCCCTGACCCACGTATTCTGGAACATGATCCGCACCATTCCCCACCCAGCGCACGTAAAAGTGGTCCCGGGAGCCCGGGAGGCGCATGGGTTGGGGAGGCTGCGCTGCAAGACCAGGCGCTGTGGGATGTTGCTTTGGGGCTCGATGCAGAAAACAGGGTGGGTTTGGTTTGCTCTTCCTGTACTTTGGCCCGAGAGCGTCTCGCTCCATGGCGGCGAATGCATAGCAGGAGCAGCGGCAAGCCAGGGTGGGTGGGTCCCCCTGCACGGTTTGGCCCCTCCAGGACCAGGAACAGGGCAGTAAAATTTCTCTTTCTATCAGGGGAGAACCACTGGCTCTCAGAATCAAGCCCACTGGCTCTTAGGATCGTGCAAAGACAAGGAGACAAAGAAGCAGCTGCGGAAAGCGGAAAACAAGCTGCTGTGTGGTCCTTGCAGCGACGCTGGTTCACAAGCAGGCAGTCGATGAGCCCAGGTGGGTGGGCCGCACACCCTGAATTCATTCCGCACCCGCAGTGTGGGAGCCCCTCCCTTCCCTCCTTGCTAATCTTCCTTTCACGGTTGTTTTCAGTTACTCCGGAAAGTAGCTCGATGTCAGATGGGGTTACAGGTTTTGCAATAGCATCATTTTTACCTGCATCCTCTGGAACATTTTCTGCTTTTCAGTTCCTCATAGCGCTAGTCAGTCTTGTGGTTTCCCGAGGGTTCAGCCATTCCGCCGGCTGCCTCACGGCGTCTGCACCAAAGAGCTCTGAGCGGGAGCTGGCGCGGCGGGGGGGGGGGGGGCGCAAGCAGCTGGCAGCCGGGGCCCCCGTCCCCAGGACGCCCGGCGGGGCCACGAACAGGCCTGCCGGCCGATGTGCTGCTCCTTCCCGGCCGTTCTGTCTCCCGTGGTCTGGCCGTGGATGGTGGCCGCCTGGCCTTTCCCCACCCGGAGGGGCTGCCGAGGCGCCCGCAGGGAAGAGGTGCCCCCTTGTCCCGCAGCTTCCAGGGCTGGGCGATTGGGCAGCAGCGTAAGAGGAGCGAGGCAGGCGGCAAAGCGGGTGCCCCACAGAGGATGGTGCACACGGTGACTAGCGTGCAGTTAGCAGGATGCGACCGGCAAAGCAGTCCGGGCAGAAGGCGCTGCCCTGCCACCCCCACTAAAGGGCGAGCTGCGGTACTCAGGGTCCGCACCTGCCTGAAGCTTCCGCTTATCAGCAAGAAGAAAGAATGTGAGGAATTAAAGCCTTGGTATGACGGTGTGCCTGGAAAGTTAGGCGTGCGCTCAGGTTTAATTACGCAGTTGGAAGAGGAGCTCTTTCGTCTGAGGCTTTTCGTGGCTTGCCTGGCGAGGCAACTCAGCCGCTGCCCTGGCAGGCCTCCCTCGGGGCGGTGGAAGCAGCCCTTGCATGAAGCCGTGGCTTGGTCCCCACGCCGAGGCATCCTCTCCTCCTGCTTCCTCTCCCTTTAAGGGGGCACGGCAAGAGGGAGCCGACTGCGAGATCCCACCAGGCTTCAGCAGTGCTTTGTGGAGGCCCCCAAGAGAAGGGCCACCTCCCTTTCATTGCCCCAAAGGGAGGGATGGGTGGAAAACTGGGGAGGGGGCTGGAGAAGGAGGCCTCACAGACCTCCATGGGTCTGTGAGGCCTCCTCACAGAGGCATGAGCACCCAAGAAAAGCCCCGATCGCATCTTATTTCAGAAGTCAGAACAAAATAAACTGGAAAGAGGCAACAAAGATGATCGGGAAACCAAGTCCTGCAATGCGACACTGAAGGAGCCTTGAGAAGAGAAGATGCAGCAGCCAGAGGAGAGCCCCCTACAAGCGCCTTGGAGGCCGGCACAGAGAGGAAGCAAGGGATTCCACTCATCCCTGCAGGCAGGACACAGAACAACCAGTTTAAACCGCAGTCCACCAGCTTCAGGCTGGACCGCAGGAAAAGCTTCCTCCCCGTCAGAGCAAACGGCAGTGGACCCAGCGGCCCAGAGAGGCGGTGGGCTCTCCCACACTGGGGGCAGTCACGGAGCAACCGGGCGGCCGTCAGAGTGGGGTGGTGTGACGTGGTCTCCCGCAACAGCCGACGGCCTTCTGGCCCCTTCCCGCTCTCCTGCTCTGCGCTCCTCTGCAAAACAGCAGTGCAGGGCCATGCCCAAGGCCTGCTCAGTCCAGCACCCAGCTGACCCGGTGGCAGGCCAGCGGCCCGCAGGACCCCTCGAGTGGGGTGGGCCCTCAGCAGCCGGCGGGCGCAGGCACGCTGCCCTGGTGAGGGCGGGGGCACACGGCCAGCAAGGCTGGTGGGCATGGAGAGCCTGGACAGACGCATGTTGGGGGGGGTCCCTCCTGTGTGACTGTTGTAGAAGTCCGGACGGTGAACCTGTCCATGACCGCACACTGGGGCTGACATAAGCTGCAGCGGGGTCAGGCTAGACGGCCTGGGAGGTGCCTTCTGACTCGCTCTGTTTCTGTGTCACAGGAACAGCCATTCGCACTGCGCTGCGGAAGCTGCGCCAGGGCCTGGCTCTGGGTCAGGTGCTTCTTTCGGCCGGCATCAGCCCTGCGGCTCCGAGGGCCCCGGTGAGCCAACCGGGCTGTGCAAGAGCTGCTAGAGAAGCACGTCGGAGGCCTTCCGCTCTGGCCCCTTGTCGGAAAGGGGCACTTGTGGCATAAACGGGAGCGATTCGAGGGTCCCTGGGCGGAGCCTGCTGTTCAGGCAGGACTGGGGCTGCAGCCCACCATCACTCCGGGCTCCCTGAGCTTCCAGTGCATGTGGCCGCTGCGGGCAGGAGACAGGCAGGCAACGGCTTCCGGAGCACACCTGCACGGAGCTGGCCGTGCATCCCAGGAGATGCGTGGCCTCCCCTTGGCCCCTTGCCATGGATCCGGCTGCCTGCCACTCCGTCCCCGAAGCACCGCAGCCCCGTCCTGAGTGCGGATCCAGGAGAGGACCGCCAGGCCCTGCGGCGCCCCTCTTTTAGCACCGCCTGAAGCCATCCATGCCGGCGGAGAGGCCCCCCACCTCCTGGGAGCCAGTAGCAAGGGCCGGAGTGACCCACGCGGGCCGGCCTGCCGGTCCCTCGGATGGTGCCGAACGGTGCGGAAGAGCAAGCCTGGGCAGGCCGTGGGGCCGTGTGTGCCGAGCCTCCGCCGCTTAACGGAGGAGGAAGCGGTGGGGTGCCCCTGCCGCTCAGCTGCTCTGGCCGCAGTCCCGGCTGCCCACGCCTGCTCGGCTCCTTGGCGTGGGCTGCAGTGTCAGCAGGGCCACCCCCGTTTCCTGTGTGAAAGCGCCAGGCTGGTCAGGAAGCCAAAGAGCCCCGGGGAAGCTCTCGGACGGCTCGCTTCTACTTCTGGTTCAGTTCCTGCGATGAATAAGTCGCAGGGCAGTGCTCTGGGAAGGAAAGGGAAACCAGCGGGTTTCTCCTGCGATGCCGACGGAATGTGACCCACGCGGCAGATCTGCTGTGCATCCGAAAATGGTGGCTGGAAGAGGCCGTCTCCTTTCATCCCGCTGCCAGGGCTGGATGGGACACGTCTGCCGCCAGGGGCAGCCAGTGCTCGCTGCTCCGCAGAGGGAGGTGCTGGCAGTGCGGAGAGCCGGGCCCGTTCTGACGGGCCTTGGCCGGCCCTCATCCGGCATGCCCCCCGCATTCACGGGGGCTGCCTGGCTTGGGGTGCAAGGACATCTGGACGTGAACATCCGGCAGCCAAGCTTGTGAGTTGTGCTGGCACAAATGCGTACAAATAGGGGAACCCCTGCGAGGAACCTCAGCGGCCGGTGATACAGAAATAGAGTCCACCGTCTTCGGCAACCGTCCTCCCCGGGTCCAGTCTCGGCTGCCTTGACATTTTGGTCTCCTCTCTTCAAATCGTCGTGCTATTTTAACCCTTTCAGTTTAAACCATCTTCACTGGGAGATCAAACATGCTTGTGGCCTTTTTCCTTTTTCACTTCAAAAGAAGACACTTCTCTGGAAGGAGGAGCTGGTAAAATGAAGGGGGAGAGGGGGGTCCAAAGGGGTAACTCTCTGCCAAATACTTGGGGGAAAGTCAAAACCAGAATGATGGGAGTTCAGCTAGAATATGAACCGCATGCAAACTGTAGAATGTAAGGTCATGAAAGCTATAAGTTGTGGCCAGCACAGTTCAAGAGTAGTTAAAAGAAAGGCTTTAAACAGTAGAGAGAGGAAGGCTTGCTACGGAAAGCGGAAATCTTGGCTTCCAAGGAAAGAACAAAAGGGAATGCAAATGTGTGCGAGGGAAATCAGAATGGCCGAAAGGGACTTTTGAGGCTCAAGCCCCCAAGAGAAAGCCAGTGGGGCATGGGTCGGTGGGCGTGTGGGTCTGGGGACCCGGGCAGTCTGAGTTCTGGTCCCCACCCAGCCATGACGCTGCCTGGATGACAAGCCAGTCACAGACCCTCAGCCCAACCTGCCTCTCAGGGCTGTTGTGAGGGTAAGACTGAACACGGAGGGAGAGCGAGGGTGCACGCGGACATTTGCAGCCTGAGCGCCGTCAGGCTGAGGGTCCGCCCTGCTCATTTCCCCCGATCAAACGTCCCCTTGCCTTCTGGGTGTCACGCGCACTGCGCGGGTGCGAGGCTGGCGTGGCCAAGGGCGTCCCGCCCTCCGAAGATCCCAGCCTCTCTGGAGGGCACGTGCCCACGGGGGCCCACTGCCCCAAAGCAGCTGAGCGTGGCCCGGCGGGCAGCCGAAGTCACGTCCAAGGGAGGGAGCCAGGAGGGGGGAGGCCGGCGAGCTGGAGCTGCTTCCTGGCCGAGTGGCCTGAACGGCTGTTCGGGATCAGAGGAGTGAGCGTGCAAGAGGGGGGCACGCTGCTGAGCAAGAATCGACCCGGCTTCTACGAAGGGCGGCTGCTGGCCTGGGGGAGTGCCGGCAAGCCCTTGGGCAGGTGCCCGGGCAGGACGTGGGCAGGCGTGCGGGACTCGACCCGCTGACTGTCAGCAGCCTGGCGTGGCTGATCAGCCCCTCCGAGCCAGAGGCGCCCTGCAGGTCACGGGGTGCCACGGGCAGGGCCCCCCCTCCACTTCAGACTTCCAACAGCTGTCGCCTGTCGAGGGGTCCCAAAGGCACATCTGCAACCCTGGCTGGGCCCTGGGCAGGTGGGCGCCTCCCGACCTTGCCAGCAGGCGCTGCCCTGCTGATCCACCAGCCTGGTTCTCCATGCCCGCTCCCGTGGCTCCGTGGTCCTCTGAAGAAGCGAAAGCGCAGCAGTACACATAGCTGTCCTTTCCTTTTGCAAGTAATTCCAGAAATTAAGGCAGAGCACCGCCCCCCTCCCAGCAAGCACAGGCAGCCCCCCAGGGGCTTCCAGGACAGCCTGGAGGGCTGCTTGTGGCTGCGCCAGGAGCACCACGGCAGGATCAGCGGAGCTGCACCCCTGCCAAAGTTGCCAGCCATTTGGACTCGCACAGCTTGTTCCGGCTTCATCCTCTTCCCTGGAGACCATCAAGTCGGGGCTGGCAGGCACCGGCCTCCCACCTGGGGCCCGGACGTGTGCCAGGCACCCCGTGCAGCTCACAGGATCACCCCCAAAGTCAATCTCACTTGGACAGTTAACTGGAGTCAAGTCTCAGGTTTCAAAGCACATCAGGGGTTCCTCGAAGAGAGCACGAAATGGGATGCACAGACAGATTGACAGACCAACTGACCAACCACATTGTTTTATTTTTATTTATTTGGGGTATTTTTGGGCCGTCCAATCACACAGAGTCTCTGGGCGGCTCACGGCAAAGCCATAAAAGCAGACACACATTGTATCCCTTGGTGTCCTGAATAGATCCTGCCACGAAGACCCAGAGAGTGACCTGTACCGCTCAGTTATGGGCATCCGGATTTGAGGAACGCCAGCCCCTTAGTGCGGACTCGTTCCAACGGGACCAATCCCTACACCAACCAGTTCAAGCTTTGGACGTGCGGAGCAGAGACTCCGGTTCCCAGCCTGGTGCCCGCTTTGGAGATGCCCGGCCGGGCACGGAGGAGCAGCTGCCTCCAGGCCTGGAGTGGGTGCGCTGCACGGCAAGCGCCCTCAGACGTGAGGGCTCAGCACCGAAACTGCCCACCCGCCAGCTCCTTCCACCGTGGTGTCCCTGCAGTGCACAGGCGCTGGCCGTACAGCCCCGACCCGTTGCCACGCGGGAACGGGCCCACGAAGGACGAATGTGGGAAGCGCCAGTCGCCGGTTCGCAGGGGCGAAGCCCAGACCCGCTCCGCTCCCGGCTCCCTTTTCAGCCAAGCGGGTCAGCCCTGTCCGTGTGAGTGATCGCACAGGCTGTGAGCCGCCTCTGTGGCTTTTCTCCCGGTCCCGCCCTCACTCCAGGCGCTTCCTCTAGCCTGCCTTCCTCCGGGGCTCGCAAGCTGTGTGGCGCTGCCTTTGACCCGCGGGTCTGGCGTGTCCACCCAGATTCTGCCAGACTAGAGCCTCTCGTTCTTGTGCGGGAGCCGAGGCCAGTGAGAGAGAGGTTCTGGCTTCGTGCCCTCTGCCCTCAGCCTCCCGCCAAATGGCTTCCTGGGGTGACCCTGCCAGGAGGGGGTGAAAATGGCCTCCCTCCAGAGCAGCCCCCCTCCAGCTTGCCTCCCCTCACTCCCACCACTCCCCTGAGCCAGGGAGCCCAATCTGCATGCCCGGGAATTGCACAGGGCCACCGGCCTTTGGGCTGTCCCCTGTTGCATCCATGGGGGATGGGCCACCAGCACGGTGGGCCCGAGGGCCGGAGACGTCGCTCAGCAGGGCTCGTCCGCCTGCAGTCTGGGCTCCTGCCCCCAGCCTCCCTTCCAGCTCCTGTGTACAGGGGCTCTCGCGGCCTTTCACTGCCCCCCCCCCCCGGCTGAGCAGGGAGGCACTCGCCCACACGCACGAGGCTGCGCTTCCCACGCCACAGCGGTCCGGCTTGGTGAGTCAGCTCCAGGGCACCCGTGCATTGTGTAAACCCGGCTCTCCTCCCAGGAAGGGCTTGGATGGCCTGTGTCCCCTGCAGCTGGTTCCTAGCCCCTCCGCTTGCTCCTGGGCAAGTCATGCAAGAGGGAGTCATAAGAAGTGCAGCTGGGTGAGGCCAGAAGGCCACCGGGTCGCTCCTGCTGTTGCAGGTCACCAGTTTACACCACCCCCCTCAGCTGACTGTCCAGTTTCTCTCTGAATGCCTCTAGGGTGGGATAGCCCATGACCTCACTAGGCAGCTGGTCCCACTGTCATATTGCCCTGACAGTGAGGAAACGTTTTCCAGATGTCCAGCCTGAATCTGGGTTCTCGCAACATGAGTTGATGCTTCCATGCCCCACACTCTGGTAAAAGCAAGCAGAGATCTGGGCCTCCCTCTTTGTGACAGCCTCTGAGGTCCTTCTAGAGGGAGACCACGTCCCTCCTCAGCCTTCTCTTCCCAAGGCTGAACGTGCCCAGTTCTGTCCGGCTCCAGGGAGGGTCACCACCCTCGCTGTTTTCCCATCAGAAGGGCCCGCGAAGTGAGGGCTGAGGGGAGCTGCCAGCTCCAGCAGGCGAGGGGTGGGATTTCAGGAAGCCCCGGCAGCATCCCCCTCGTGACTCTGCGCCAGGACATATCTCCCCACCTTCTTCCTCTCCCTTTCTCTCGCTCTGTGCTCCGGGGATGCGATTTCAAGAGCCGCTGACGCTTCTATCTGCTGATTCATTGGTTTGGGTGGTTTAAATACAGGGAGGAGGAAGCGGGCGCAAGAGGAGCGGCCCCAGGCTGGACCGGCCGCCCCGCGGAGCCTCCTCAGCACCTGCCTGCCGCGGCGCAGCCCGCGCGCTCCCCCGCCGCCCGTCTCTCCCGCCGCCGGTAAGTCTCCTCGAGCGCCGCGGCTGCCCTGGCTGCCCAGGTGCCCTCTGGTGCTCCGGGCGCGACATGCCCTCCCCGGGAGACGCCTGTGTGCAGAGCGGATGGGCCTGAGGCGCAGGCGATGCCCAGCAAGCCAGCGGGGCCGCGAGGGCCCCCGCGTCGCCCCCGTCGAAGGCACCGCGGAACGCGCGAGGGAGCGGGGAGAGCGCGGGGCGCGGAGCGGCGGAAGGCGCCGGCGCTTGGTGCGCGTCCCGCCGAGCTCCCGCCGGCACGAGTGGGGCGCGCGGGCGCGGGGGCGGGGGGAAGGCTGCCCTTCGCGGCCGCCCCCAAGCCGTGGCCCGCTCGGGCGCTCCGGGCGCTCCCTCGAGGCGAGCGGCGGCCCCGCGGCCCCTCGAGGCGCGCCATTGCCCCGCTCACTTCGCAGGCGCCCGCGCGAGGGAAGTGCTTCCATCTGTCCGAGCGGAGCTGCGGCGGGGCCGCCTCTGGAGGGATTCCTTCCCTTGAAGCGGCTGTTTGTTCTGGCGGACCGGCTGCTGCGCCTGGCAGAGCGCCCGGCCCCTGGGGCAGGCGCGCCTGGCGAGGGATGCGCGGCCGCCGCCGCCGCCGCCGATGTCGGCAGCCTGGCCCCGCGCTTGCGCCGCCTGCCCCCTCCTGCGAGGGCCCCGCGCCTCCTCTCTGGTTTCTCCCCTCAACAGCAGCCCTGCGAGGTAGGCTAGGCGAGAGCCCAGGGCTGCCCGGAGTCACGCAGAGAGCTTCGTGGCGCGGGGGCCACACCCCATCCCGGTCTAACATGCTAGCCACTGCGCCGGTACGGGCTGCCAACGCCGTCCCATCAGTCTCTCCATCTTTTATTCTGCCATCTGCAACTGACAGATCAAATCAGACTGATTTATTTATTTAATTGACGGGTGCATGAGGATTTTTGTGCATGTGCGAATGCACATTAGTTCCTCTTGTACTAATGTGCATTCACACAAGCACAAATGAAGAGAAAACATCTCGGTTGGCTGAGGAAGGAAGTCGCAGGTCCGATTCACAGAAATCCAAGCTCATTTGAATCCATCGTGGATCCCACAGAAGAGCCCCACTCCAGAGTCTCTGGAAGGCCAGTGGTCGGGGGGGGGGCACTGGGAGAAGGCGCCCCCTTTGGGGACTCCCCACTGCGGCTGCAGAGCCGCGCCAGTGGGGTGGCAGGAGTGGGACTCGCCAGAGCCTGCAGGCCACAGCCCAGCCAAAGCTGAAGTGCCCCTCTTGGCTTGGAGATGGGGGGCCGGGGTCTGCCTGTCCCTTTCAGCCTCAGGCGGGAGGCTGCCCCAGACCAGGCCAGCCCACGGAGGCCCTCTGCGTGTGCTCTGGGCCGGCAGCCTCAGATTCCTCCTAGCAGCTGCAGCACACAGAGAGGCCGGGGCGGCCGGGGCGGCCGGGCACACGAGACCCTCCCTCTGCGCCCCAGAGCAGGGCCTGCGCGTGGCTGTGCGCTTGGGGTGCATCACCCCCAAACATGGGAGCTGGAGCCAGAGACCTCCAAGGCAGGTCTGAGGGTGCGCAGTGCCGCAGTGGGGAGAAGAGCAGGGGGGGCAAGGGGTCCGAGGCTGCCTGCCACTTCCTGCAGGGCGAACGATCCCAGCAGGAAGGCATGTTTGGCAGTGGAGCAGCTCTCTGCCCCCCTGAGGCAACACATGAAGGGGAGGCAAGGGGGGGGGGGGCTGCACGGTGGATCGTGGCAAGGGCTGGAGGCTCCTCTGACCCCCAGAAAAGTCACACAACTGCCCCACACCCTCAGAATGCTGCCTCTGAGGACTGAGCACGGGCGGCTTCTGGAGCAGAGGCCTTCCTCTTCCGCAGGGACGCGGTGCCTCCTGCCACACCTGACACTGCTGGAGAGGTGCCTGGCCCAAGGGGCCTCGCGGGTGGGCCTCCAGCCCTTGCCTTCCAGCCCTGATCCCCCTCCCGCAGCACGCGCTGATTGCCTCGGCCGTGGGGGACTCGCGCAGCCTGCCCCCAGCCCCGCGTGCCTGTGAGGGAGCCGGGTTGTGCCTCCGACAGGGAAGACTTTCTGGCTGCGGCCCCCTCCCTGCCTTCCGGAGAAAGAACTGCTCCTGCTGGCTTGGCGGGCCATCTGCCCCCTGCTCCACGGAAGGCAGGGGTGGAAGCCCCCGTGTGGGGGCCCAGCAGCCGGGAGACGGCCCTTCCAGGGGCTCAGCAGGGCACCCAGGAGGCCACCCAGGGGCTCAGCAGGGCAAGCGGCCCTTCAGGTGGAGGCCGCGGCTGCCAGTGGGCTCTTCTGGCTGCCCCTCCTTGAGAACGGAAGACATGGGCCTGGAGCCCCACAGAGCTCCCATTTGGGGGCAGTTGCACAGCAACAGCCCTGCTTGGCCGCCTGCCGGGGCCGCTTGCAGGTGATGCCTTCGGGGACACCCCCGCCACAAGATGGTCGGGGCCCAGATGTTCTCTCCCAGCCTTCCTGCGCCTTCGGTGCCGCGTCCTCCATCTCTTCCTGACCACAGAAATTCTGTCGACGAGAAATGGTGGCGGCCTTTCGCGAGGCCTTCCGACAGCACTGGCGAGGCCCCTCCTTCCGGCCCGCCGTGATGGGGGGGAGCTTTGCTGGCAGCGTCCATCTGGCATCCCCCCCTCCCGGCTTCCCCCGCAGCCATGCGGGGTCCCCTCTGGCGGCTGCTGAGGAGAGTGGCATGCGTGGGGGGCTCACGGGACTAGACCACCAGCTCCACGACCTGGAGCCCGATTCATCCAGTGCAGGAAGGGCCCTGCGGGGAGGGGGCCCCACCGCAGCAGTCCCTCTCGCCCCATCCCGGCCATTGGGGAAGCCGAGGCAGCAGGCCCGGCATGCAGAGCTCCCCCCGCCCCCGCCGGCCGCAGACGGCCCTTCCCTCACGGCCCAGGAATGCCTGCTGACGGCAGCGGCTGCGCTCGGGGGAATGCAGTGCGGTCCAGCTCCGGCGCCGCGTTCGGAGCGCGGCTGGGCTTGGCGCGCACGAGCCCTGTGGCCACAGAGCCCTCCGGCCACGGCTGTGCTCAGAGTTTCCAGCCGGGACGCGAGGCAGCGATTATCCCCATTATCCGTCCGCTCCGCCTCAGCCGGCGCTCCCCGCCCAGGAGAAGGCCTGCCCCCGGCTGTGCGGGGGGGGGGGGGGGCCGCGGGCTCCCCCTGGGCCCCGGGAAGTCCAGGCCGCCTGCGAGGGGGGGTGCCCCACCCTGTCTGCTCTCGTGCCCACAGGGGCTGGGGGGGGGGGGGCAGGGGAGCCGCTCTTCCCATGGGCATCCGTGCATTTCCTTAGAGCAGCGAGGGGGCCACAGAGCCCACCCCGCATACCACACCCACGGGATCAAATGAGTGTGTGCGCGTGTGCGGGGGAGTCCTCAGGGCAGCAGGCAAGCTCGTCCAGACCGACAAGAGTTCCTGCCCATGTGCAGAGAGCTGCCGTGCTGTTCCTCCCAGGCACATGTACGAGGGCACGGAAAAGGCTCATCTAAAAGTGTGGCGCGGGGGGGACCGGCTGGCACGGGGTGCCCACCGGCTTTTCTCTGTGTCACTTGTGAAACGGCCCCCCCCCACGGGAAGCCTGGTGCCCCCATCTCACAGCCATTTCGCTCCCCGGGCTTGGGGGCAATCTGGGCTTGATTCCCGCCCGGGACCACCCACCAAGCCCCCTTTGGCTCGCCGAGGGGGCAGAGGTGGCAGGGGGGCGCAACGCGAGCTCCTGGGCCCACCCCCAGCTCACAACAGGGGGTTCCGCCTCTTGCGCTCCGGAGGTCTCTGCAGAGATTGCCTGCAGGCGAGCATCTGCGCCGGGGGGGGGGGGCATCAGCCGCTGTGCCCCTCACCCGCCGAGCAAACGTGCCACAGCAGCCCTCTCCGGGTTCCGCGGGGGCGCGACGTCCGGCCCTGCAGCAACCGCAACCGCAAGGGCTCCCCCAGGCCGCCGCCGGAGGAGCCCCCCCCGCCTCACAGCGGCCGCGGCAGCGCCCCCTCCCCTCGCCCACCCGGGCTCCGCTGTGGGGGCCGTGCGCCCCCGCCCCCAGGCAGCCTCCGGCCGGCTCGCCTCGGTGCCCGGGCGCGCTGCTGAGCCGGCGGGGGGCGCTGGCCTCGGAAGAAGAGGCGGGGCGGGGGCGGGGCCCTGGCGCGTCAGCCGGTGTCCCGCCACCTCCCGTGGACTCGGGGCGGGCAGGGGACTCTCGGCGCCGCTTATGGAAAGGTGGACGGGGCGGGGGGCAGGAGTCATCCCAGACCAGGGCCTCCACCGCCCCCTCCAGGTGCCCTTGGCTGTCCTTCCCCCCACATGCACTTGTGGGGAAAGGCACAGCTGGCGCTGGGGGCTCAGCGGCCGGCTCACTGGACTTGCTGCCCTGGTGGCGGCGAAGCACCTTGCCCCTGCCCCCTCCAGGGCCTGCCAGGGAGATCCCGGAGGGGCACCCCTCCAGACTTGGGTTGAGCCCTTTGCACAGAGGCCCTCAGCCAGCGGGGAGGGGGGCAACAGCTCCCTCCTGGCCAGGTTCCCCCACTGGGCATGGGGCGGACCTCCCTGACTGGAGGGCTGCTTCATGAAGAGCACGTGGCGGGCAGGCCCTTCCGAGCACCATGCTGTGCGCCCGCGCAATCCAGGCTGGACTGCTGGCAGTGGAAGGCACGCGGGCCCAGCCACAGGGGCAGGGCTGCTGGCAGGCACCCGGCGAGGCGTGATCGGGGCCCGGGCCTCCCTTCGGGCGCTTCTGCGCTGGCCCCACCTCTGGCCGGGCAGCTCTCCAGGCTGGGACAAAACTGCCCTCTGCCCCGGCTCCCCGAGGGTCCACATGCCCCCTTCCAATCGGGCAGGGGGGCTGGGGGGGCTGCTGGGGTGCGCCGCTTCTGCGCCTCACGCTGGCTGTGTCCGCTTGCCTGCAGGCCCCATGGCGCCGCGCGGCCCCGCGGCCCTCCTGCTCCTCGGCTGCTGCGTCCTCGGCTGGGCCCGCGGCCAGTGCCCGGAGACGTGCACCTGCTCCCGGTCCGCCCAGGTGGAGTGCGTGGGCCCCCAGATCACGGAGGTGCCAGCCCCGCTGCTCGGCCACGCCATGATGAGCCTGCAGATCCTCGGCACGGGCATCGTGTCGCTGGGCGAGGCTGCCTTCGGGAACGCCTCCATGCTCATCGCCCTGCGCGTGGAGAAGAACAGCCTGAGCCGCATCAGCCCCGGCGCCTTCCACCACTTGGCCTCGCTGCGCTACCTCAGCCTGTCCAGCAACCAGATCCGGGAGCTGCCGCTGGAGGTCTTCCAGAGCCTGGGCAGGCTGGAGTCGCTGCTGCTCTCGGGCAACCAGCTCGCCCGCATCCACCCGGCCCACTTCACCCAGCTGAGCAGCCTCCGGGAGCTGCAGCTGCAGGGCAACAGCCTGCAGGCGGTCCAGCCGGGGGCCTTCGACCAGCTGGGCGCCCTCACCAAGCTCAACCTGGCCAGGAACCGCCTCTCCCGCCTGCCCCCGGGGCTCTTCGCGCAGCTGCGGCACCTCCAGACGCTGCGCCTGTATGAGAACCGGCTCGCCGAGGTGCCTCCGGGGGCCTTCGACGCCCTCGCCGAGCTGCAGGAACTGGGGCTGCACCAGAACCGGATCCGGCACCTCCCCGCCGGGCTCTTCGCGGCCAACCGCAAACTGCAGAAGCTGTACCTCTCCAACAACGGCCTCGAGGCCCTTCCGGAAGGCCTCCTGCTGGACCTGCCAGAGCTCTCCCGGGTGTCCCTCTTCGGCAACGCCCTTCAGGAGCTGCGCCCCGGCACCTTCGGGCCCGTGCCCCTGCTGCGGGAGCTGTGGCTCTACGACAACCGGCTGGCCGCCTTGCCGCCCCACGTCTTCGCCAACCTGACGGAGCTGCGGCTGCTGGTCCTGAGCCGGAACCGGCTCCGCTCCATCTCCCCGTCCGCCTTCGCCGGGCTGGCGGAGCTGCGGGAGGTCTCCCTGCACACCAACGAGCTCGCCGGCCTCCACGCCGAGACCTTCCGCGGCCTCACGGAGCTGCAGAACGTTTCCCTGCAGCACAACCAGCTCAGTGCCCTGCCGGGCAGCCTCTTCCAGGAGACGCCGCACCTGGTGAACATCCACCTGCACAACAACTCCCTGGAGCGCCTCCCCGCGGGCCTCTTCGCCCGCCTGCCCCAGCTGCGGGAGGTCCGGCTGCACGACAACCCCTGGCGCTGCGACGCCGGGCTCCTGGCGCTCCAGCGCTGGCTGCGGGAGAACAGGGCGCGCCTGGCGGGCGGGCAGCCCGTGTGCAGCCGGCCGCCTGCGCTGCAGGGGCGGCCCGTCGTGGAGCTGGAGGACGAGCAGCTGGGCTCGGGGGCCCCCGCGGCCACCGCCGGGCTGAGGCCCCCCTCCGGCCGCACGGAGGCCCCCGCCCACGGCCCGCCCGCGGAGACCCCGCTGCCCACCCTCAGCCAACCCCCGCCCCTGGAGGGCGAAGCCGGCAGCGCCGAAGCCGAGCCGCAGCTCCCGACAGCGGCCGCGGAGCTGCCCAGCCCCGGCCGCGCCGAGGGGGGCATCTGGGGCCTGACGCGCACCCAGACGGGGGTGGTGGTCACCTGCATCGTGGTGGGCTGCGCCTTGCTGCTCATGACGCTGGCCGCGCTGGCCGTCCTCGGCTACCGCAGGAGAAGCCTGGCGCAGGGCAGGGCGTAGGAAGCGCGGGAGCAAGCGGCCGGCAGACGCGGGGCAGGCGCCCGGCTGCGCCTCTTCCTCCCGCAGCCGCCTCCCCTCCGCGGCCGCCTCCGCACTCGGCGCGCCCCGGCCGACTCTCCCCTGCGCGCACCGTTCAAGCTCGGCGGGGAGCCGGGCCGTCTGCGCGCCTCCCGCATCCTGCCCGGCCGGGCGCGCTCGGCGCACGTGTCCCTGCAGCGGCCCTTCCCTGCCGGGCCGGGCCGGGGCGCTGTGCCCGCTGGAGGGCGCGCGGGCCGGGCAGAGAAGGCGGCAGCTGCGCGGGCGGGTCTGCGCCTCCTCCTGCGTAGGAAGGCCCCGCGACCCTTGTGGCCGCGCAGCGGGGGCTGAGGGGCCCACAGGCCGGGGGGCTCGGGCAGGGTAGCCACGGCGGCGGCTTGTCCTGCGGGGGGCGCAGCCGTCGGTGCTGCGGACACATGTGGAAAGCCCCCTCTTGCAAAGAGCGGGGAAACGGTGCGGTGCGAGCCTCCGGAAAGCCGAGGCAGGCGCGGCATCCGAAGGCAACTCCGAGCCCTTTTACGCGGCAGCGCAGGCCCCGCGACGGACTGGGCGCGCTTCCCGGGCCGCGGGAACTCTTCGTGAGGCAAGGCCGGGCACAGCGGCGGGCCTGGGGGAGGCGGCCGCCTGCTGGGGGGCAGAAGAGCGGGCGTGCGGAGCGCGGCCGGCATGCGGCTCAGGGTGGGGAGCGGGCGGGCCGCCGGCGCTCCAGTTAGGCTCTGGAGACCCCCCGGTGTGGTTTGCTCCTTTCTGCTTTTGTTGCGAACGTCGGCACGTCCTTTCTGAAGCCCCCCCCCCTTCTGGGCTCCCCGTGCGCAAGGAGAGGGGCGCCTTCTTGGCAGTCTCCGGCGTCTCCCCTCGGTCCCGGCCGCCTGTTCTCCCGGCGGGACAGCCTCTCCTTCCTTCCTTCCTTCCTTCCGGCTCCCACCGGCCCGAGTCTCCCAGGCTCGTGTCCAGAATCGGCCGGGCCTGGCTTCATTTTAGGGTGTAAAACTTTCTTCAGCAATTCCTTGTAAACGGAAGACTCTTTGAAGCGCCGCTCTCTGTTCCATGCCAGGATCTATTAAAAGCTGCTGTCACCATCGCAGTGCCTGCCACGTTTTTCGGGGTGGGGAGAGGGGGATGATGGAGGATGGTAGGGAGGGTTGTAGGGTGGGAGCTGCAGGTCTCCTTCCAGATGCCCCGGAGCTCCCGGCCAGGACATCCAAGGTTGGAACACTGCTGCAGTTGGGCAGCGGGGCCTCCATCCCCACTGCCCCCCCTCCAAAATCAGCCCAAGTGGCAGCCCCCCCCC